AGCATGTTAAGCAGATGGCCATTTTTCTTTAAATTAGGAACTATTTATGAATACCATTAATGATAAAAAAAATAATCAATATGTATTGTATTGACTATACAAACAAATCTAAGGTAGTCAATTCAATAGAATTCAATAGATGAGAAAATCGTGCAGATGTCATGGTCACATGATGACCCCGATGTACTTTATAGTAACATTTTTCATCTCATAAAGAATGAATTCGATCGAGCTTTCCCTTCTGAAACGAAGAAAATTATTACGCAGAAACTACAGTTTTGTGACTGGGCTACGACTGGCATTTATAAAAGCAGAAACGGACTATATGAGTTGTACAATCTTAGAAAGCATTCTGAAAAATTCATAGATTATGTAAAAGCTTACTCTAAATTATTCAAAAAAGTATGTGCATTAGCGAAGTCAAATTTTATTACACACAAAATTAAAAATTCCAAAAATAAAATAAAAACTACTTGGAATATTATCAATCGTGAAACTGGTAAAAATAGACCACATGACGATGTATTGGCAGTTAGTTTCAAAAACGAGCTTATTAAAACTCCTGAACTGATCGCCAATATTTTTGATGTTTTTTTCATAAATAAACGGATCGAGACAACTTCTAATTTGAATTCTTCGCCGGAGGCAGCAATGGCTATGCTTAGGAAATGTGTACCAAAGTGTGATACTATATTTAAGTTCAAATATATTAATTCATTAGATGTTATTAAAGGCTTCAGAAAATAAAAATAAAATAAAAACTCGTGACTTATGGGGTATATCAATAAATATAATTAAGAGTATAATTAATATAATTGCCTCCTATCTCGCTGATATTTTCAACCACTGTATTGATGAGGATATTTTCTCCGATCTCATGAAATTTAGTAAAGTCATTCCTCTTTTTACCAAGCATAGTAATGTACACAAACTTAACACTAGAAAAAACAAACTAGTAATGCCTTCTTACAGGTTACAGAAGGTATTAGGTTCTTTCATGGGTCAAGGTATACAATACTTTAACAAGATCCCCAGTGATGTATTAGATTTGCCAATAAATCATATTAAAAATCGTATTAAAAATTGTCTACAAAGTAAAGGATATTATACAGTTAAGGAATATCTAAATAACAAAAAGGCATGGTGTTTGATATTTTAAGTTTATTATATTTAACTTTCTAATATTGTGATGGAAAGTGACTTTATATTCTAATGAAGTCACTTTTCAATAAGACTTCTCTGTGTGAAATAAAACAGGGAGAAAAAACAGCCCTTGCTGAGTTTCTTGCCGTTTCCCCTTAGTACAAGGTCTCCCGCCGTAGTTTTGCGAACCGATGGCGAAGTTTTCGACTTTCACAAGTGCTCTGTAAAATCCTAAACTGAATAAACAATTTGATTTGATTTGAAATTGATTATATATAAACTGGCTAATGTGAGTCGACTTGCACTCAAAGAGTTCCGTAACAGTATCTATAAAAAAAGTAAAAAAAAAAACACTTTTATAGTATGAGAGCCTCAGAGCTTGTTTTATCTGTTTTTATTGTTAAATAAGGTTTTGTTGTTGTAATGGCAACATAAATACATCATCTGGGAAATTTTAAACTAACTGTCACGGTTCATGGTTTACAGCTTGGCGATAGACGGATAGACGGAAGTAGCTCGGTGGTGTGGAGGATAAGCGCCGCCGCCTGCGATCGTTCTTGTAAAGGAACTTTCGCAACGGTCGGTCACGGGATGGGTGGCCAAAAATTATTATCTCGAGCTATTTCGTGCGTTAAGCCGTTGCTCCCGGCTGCATTTGTAGTCGTTAATACCCTCCAATCCGCATTGGGCCAGTGTGGAGGGTTATGGTATAGAAGGGCTGATGCAATCATACAGGTAGCTGCTCTTTGACTGGATTTATGCGTGGTGGCTATGTCATGCTCTAGCAAAATTGATGTTATTGGCAGTGTTAATTTTTTTGAAACATTGAGTACCTTATACATGTAAAGAATACTTAAAATTCTACAAACAACTCCACCTTCTTCCATTACATAGTCAACCTGACATTACAGATGATGTAAGCTTACTTAAAATAATTTCAAATAATTATGATTCCCCTGAAATTCTCTCTAAATTAAACTTTAATGTTCAATCAAAATCAGTTAGACACTATACTTTTAATATTACCTGTGGCATCATCTAATTTCCCACAGAATGCATTTTTGTGGCGAGGAATTGGAACTTTAAATGAATTATGCAAGTCAAAAGAATTAGATATAAAGACAAAATGATGATTAATACTGTCTCGAGTTTCTCCGTGCTGCGGAATTGGTCTCGGACGCATCCACAGCCGTTCACATCCACCAATCCACATTGGGCCCGCGTGATGAGTCATGGGTCATTCAATTCAATTGGATTCACAGGGAAGGCCAGTACCCTAGCAGTGGGACATGAATAAGCTGATAATGTAATATGTATACAAATGTACCAAGTCTGTAATGTATATCAATCCGTATACTAATTATCAGGAAAAGAAATAATAGATTTTTATTTGGCTTTTATTACATACATTATAATTTTAGAACATAACAAATATATGTACATACGTAGTATAATATAATAACTACATTCGTAGAGATCATAAATACATCGCAACAAAAATTAATTTAATAGCCTTGTCACTTCATCCACAATATACTCCACAGAATAACAAAATTTTACGGACTACAATAAAATACACATAAGGATGGTCAGCTCTGACAATATATTGTCGGACTGGTTCCATAACAGATGTAACCCCCACTCCAAAAGCTGGAAATAAAATTGCAGTATTTAAAAAGGAGTTTGATTTCTCTATGAACAAGGTAAACATTTTCAATAGTTAATAGATAATACAAAATATTGGCTAACTTATGATGAAAATAACGATAAACCATTCGGTGGAAATTCCTCAAAAAAAAGGTTACTAAGTACTATAAAATAAACGCATGGAAAGTCTGCTCTCATGATAATATATTCCTGAAAGGGTAATTGTCTGCACTCATGATGTATTCCTGAAGAAACAGACGCATCAGATCTCTCTATGACTCGAAAAATTTCGATATAGTAGAACAGATAATATTTTCACTATGGAACAGATAATATTTGGGTATAGTATAGTTTATCGGTATCGGTGGTTTAGGTCTATTGAAATTCTCGTTAATATTTACAGATAGTGTCACAACTTAATATAATTAATCAATAAAAATAACGTACAGGGAAAATGACTGGGTAAAAAAAAAGAAATTCCATTTACTCCATCAGCCACTTAATAGAAAAGTATTATAAATGTATTTTTTTGCTTCAATTTAACAAAATAAAAATACGTTTAGGTAATAGTTATAAAAGGAATGAGAGCTCGCTACGTCACAGCTTTGTAGAAAATGTACAAAAGCATGATATCATGAGACATTCAACTCAATGGGGGACACATAACTAATTGATTACGCAAAAAAATACGCGTATTATACATGACTGAGAAACAACCAAAAGAGTTGGATAAACTTTAATATATTTTATGAACATAACATTATACATACATATCATTGGAACTAAAATAACTGTGCTATGTAAGTTACATTTTCTCAATTCATCCATAAAATACTCCACAGAATAACAAGATATTATGGACTGTAATACAATATATGTAAGGATGGTCAGCTCTGACGACATAATTTTCAACAGCCGCAATAGCTGCAAACCCTACTATAACAGCTGCAAATAAAATTGAAGCATTGTTTACAAAACAATTTGATTCATCTTATTAACTAAGGTATTTTCTGTTGATAATCAATTTTGATTGCTGGTTGGTAAACAATATTTTTAAATTAAGAATGAAATGATAGTTATCTACGGAATTGCTTCAACGACCTTATATTTATTAAGTCTCCGATATTTCGATGCTGCTGCTTGAAGCTATAACGGAGGAACTAAAGTCTTGTGGGTGAATGTTTTATTATCAATCTACCCTCTTCGAGACTTCTTACGTTCCCATAGATAATTATCATTCTAATATTATTAAGCTAGTTCATCCATTGAAAATACCACAAAAAAGTATAACTTTTCTTATTGTTATAAAGTAAACATATGGGTGGTCTGCTCTCACGATGTATTCTTGAAGAGGTGGTTGTAGCAGAGCTCTCTCTGACACGACAACGGCTGTAAACACGTTTGTTGTAAAAGTGAAGTTTGGTGTACTTTGGTGAAGCATTCTTTGGGTTTAGGAGATATATGTTACATAAATTACAACTTATTTTCAAACAATAATATCAAATTATATGCAATTACGTAATGACAAGACAATGATAAGTATGTAATGGTTTAAATGTTTCAAAAAATTTGTCTGAAAAATAAATGGTCTTCTAAATTTGAAAACCCACAAAGTAACAAATTTCGATAGTTTCTTAATAAAAACGTAATGTTGTTTAATTAAAATCAATGATGAATAATTATTATTGAAAAAAAAAATATGGCACTTTCGAGCAATGTGTTTTGCCTATTCTCATGTACGGAGCGGAGACGTGGACCCTGACCAAACAACACGTGAACAACTTACAGGTAGAGCTCAGCAAAAAATGGAACCAGCCATGTTAGGGATTACATTACGTGATCGAATCCGTAATACGGAAACACACAGACGCACCAAATTACCCTATATGGTTAGTATCGTTGCATGTAGGAAGTGGCGATAGGCGGGACATATTATCCGCAGAAGAGACAACCACAAGATGTTGAAAAGGGAGTGGCTGCCAAGAAAAAGTAAGAGAAATGTTTGCCGACAACGAGCTAGATGGGCAGACGATATCTTCAAAGTGGCGAGGAAGAACTGGCAATGGAAAGCATAACTTACATGATTGGTGCAGAATGGAGGAGAGCAATGGGTGGATGTGGGTTGAAGATCTTTGAAAAGAGTATACTAATGTTAAGGCAGTGAAAGACATATCTAATGTCAATGCCATATGGTGCGTTTTTCTTTCAGTCTACCCAGTAAAAAATATGATAAGTTAAAAAAAGTGAAAAATAATACTTATCTCAAAAGACCTACAGAAAACCTCCGCCCGTCTAATAGCATTTTCTTGAATAAGTAACTATAGACATAAGTATTATTTTACACTTTTTTTTAAAGTTTAAAATCGTTCTATTTATTTTTATTTCATGCTTTTTAGTGATTATTATATAATATATAGTTAACACTAAAAATACTCATTTGGAAACCGCGTTGAAACCGTATTTAAGTGCGAACCTTCATTTTTTTTAGTCTGTTAATATACCTAAAACCTTCTTCTAAGTCTGACATATAGGCAAAATGAGAACCTCCTTCTTTTCTTGAATTCGGTTAAAAATATATATATTTTATTTTGGCTATAATTACCATTAGTTGCGGCTGCTACGGAACCTTCCTCATTGATATCAATAGTTGCTTTTTGAATAGCAGTCGATACATACAAACTTTCATCTGGTACAGTTATTCCACTTAGTTCTGCACAAGGAGTGAAAACAGTCTCAACTCCATCCTGAAAATTTGAATAGAGAGTTTAAAAATATAACATTGCTTTTTTATAACATTTTTACAAGGTTGTAATATTATCTTAGGTATTCTCAAGTATTTTTAATAATAATATTATTATTCTCATGAATATAACCAAGTTGCGTCATTGAACATAATATGGACATTATAATATTGACTATTATGTAAATGACCTATTCTGGTGTTCTTTGATTTATATTGACAAATTTGTGTATATTGATTGTATTGTATATGACATTGTAGAATTTTATATTGTATTTGGATAATATCACGGACATTATAATCAAACTTAAATTATATGATATTTTAAAAATTTAATGACATTAGAAATATAATATTTGCACGCCTACTATATAAGGCAAAATATTGTTGAGCATGAAACCTATGTAACAACTGTACTGACACAATATTTGAGCAAATAAATGTTTTGATTGATTGATTTGATTGATTGGATTAGGGACATACGTTTAGCTTCTGTCTTTATAAAAATAAAATATGGGCGAGGACTTACTTGTTTTAAATTTTTTTCCAAATCGATGGTTGTTGAAACATTTATTTTGGGCAAGAACAACGTTACAGTTTGTAAAGTAAAATCATTCAGAACAATGTTTAAAATTGTTAGGTTTTGCAGTTGGATGATGACATCTAATAAACCAAATTTTTGGTTTGGCACGATGACTAAAAGAGTAATATTCTCATCAAGATATGGCAGCTCAATAATCTGAAAAAGTTGACAGGAAAAATAGGGTCCTTGCATTAAAAAAAAAATATCTTAACTATTGAATCAAATGTTTTGATTTGTCACCTGCGCATCAAGATCATTGTTGTTGGCATATTTCATTTCCGTTTTTAGTTGCATCATTTGTATTTGTATAGTTTTCGAAGGATTCACGTAAAAGTCTGTTGATTCTGTTTTATTTGGATCAAATTTTGTTTTCCACGTACCCTGCATGAAAAATATTACTCATAATGCATTTCAATATACTTTATAAAATAAAACATAGAAAATATGATTTAACAGACCTTGAAGTAAACAGCATTAACCAACACCAAACGTGTCAAGGAATCAAACATATCAGAAGACACCAGATTCGTGATTTTTCCTTTAGTTTGTTCTGAAACCTGATTAAAAACTTGAGCAAGGACACAATTAATAATAGGAATCCAGTCACAGTTTTAAAAATCTCCAGTAATCATACCCATTCATTGATTTCACCAGCTGCTTGGCTTGGATTTTCAAAATCAATGGCTTCCGCTTCGGCATCGAAAATGGTCATGGCATCGTTTTGAAATGATTCACTGAGTTTATATTCGTCATTTACGTATATTTTGTTAGCTAGGTCCAACTCTGTATCTTGAGTTGCTTGGAAGGTATCCAAAAAAGCTTTAAAGGCACAGCGTATCTATAAAATTATTTTTCACTTAAGAAAAATATTGTTATATTTTAACATATATTTTGCATGTGATAACGTCGCTTATTTAACAAGTCCGCATAAGTTGCAAATCTTTTTTCATTGGTTTCAAAATTTCCTCTGTAATAACTACTTTAATGCATTCTATCAGGAAAATATCGGAAAGGGATTATTTTAAAAGCTTGTGTAAAGAGAAGGGTGAAATTATATTTGTAGCTAAGTAAGCAAAACTATCCTTTACATTTTGTTTACCGTGTAACGTTAGGCAACTAATCGCAAGTGTATTTGTGATTACAAAAATTGATTAATCTTCCTTAAATTACGCTTTGCAAATGGAATTTCATGATGTGCATCGATTTTATCAATAACTAGGGTACCTACTTAAGGACTGCAATGCTTTGGATGAATATTTATGTTATATAATTGCGAATATTTTTGTTATATATGGGAAATTTCTGTACTTTCTTGACAGTGTATTTATTCCCCGCGTTTAATTCAAGGTTTTTATAAGCGACAATATACTCTTATATCGTAAATCTATGCGTCTCGTTATTTACTAAAAATATCAAAATAGTATTGGGTAATAGATAAATGTAATAAATCGAATCAAATGGTTCGTTTACTTTGACGTTAGTAAAGAATCAGTGGAAAACATATCCGGAAACCAAGAGATAACTATAATTTGAAACCTGTATGTATGATAATCGAGCGAGATCGAGAAGAGTGAGATATTGTACTGGCATTTATTAAGGCTCTTCATGCTACGCAGGCTGGTCTTAAATATGGCCTAAACCCGGCGGGTTCTTAGCTGGGTTTATTCCATAGCAAGTTTTACGAGGTAGGCTAACCTAGTAGTGCTTGGCGGGCCCTGGTTTGAGGATGGAGTTACATTTCCCTTGCGTTATCAACAAAAAAGGTAATAAATATAACTACAGATGAATTGCAGAAAATCTACAGTCAATTATTGATAAAATACATTATTATAACGTAGATCATATTTCAAGACATCTATTGAATTTGAATTATACCTGTTCTTTAGTTTGTAAATTTAGAATAGCAATAATTTGTGTAAACGTTGGTCCTTGAGCATATAATGCTAATTCTGCTAGAGGCGTCAAAACTGAAGCAGGAGAAGCGATTACGCTTGTTTCCGGATTCATATTTACAAGTTCCTGAAACAGTGAAAAATATAAATAATAGTTTTGCAAAAACCAGAGTGTATCTTGAATTTTCTCAAAATTTTAGCATTATATCGGAACGTTGTAATTGTTTGTTGTTTTTTTGTTATTCTAAGCACTTTTTTAGGATAAAGTTTTATACCAATTACCTAATTTGGCAATTGCCATTTGCATATTTTTACTTTTTATGCACGTTCTTGTTACCAGTGCATCAATTTGTTGTTGTGATTGCTTGTATCTTTGCATTGAATAGACTCCAAAATTACTAGAACGATTTTAAGACTTATTTCATCTACGGCATAAACAACCTGTGGTTAATGAAATCATACGTGGGTGACATAGGTTATATATTTTATGTGGGCAAAGTTGCAGGAAAACAGCCAAATTTCTTGTGTCAAAAAATATCTTTCAATATATGATATAATTTCCGTTCAAAACTTTTAGCATTTAAAATTACTTTTCTAACTAAAGTAACTGAATTTTATTTATTATCCATAAAATGGGCTAATACAACTTTGGTACTAACATATAAGAACTTGGTAGTAAAATTGTTGCTTCCTTGTATGAGCGCTAATCTGTCACCTTCCACATCATCACATGTTTGAGCTGCTCGTTCGGCTGAATACAATGAGATAAGTTAAATAGTATAATAAAATTACATATTATTTAAAATCAGAGACTTGTTCTAGGTAGTAATGTAACGCTTGATAAATTCGTTATAAATTTAATAAGATAGGCTGTACAAAACCGGCCGTAGTTTTTAATTTATTTAATAACATCTCTCAAAAGTTGTTAAAAATTACTTTGTGACATTCTATGTCTATCTTTGCATCAACAAGTTGGTTTTTGATGCAAAGACTGACTAAAACTGATGAAGACTGACATAGACTGACGTAATAAAGACACAATATGTACCTACAAAAAAAAAACCTTTAATAAACTTGTTGCAATAGTCTGTAAAAAGACACTACACCGAGTGACTACACCGTAATCATATCGCTTTATTTATTTCTTGAAACAACTGCATAAAAAAGGTGATAGTCTCGCCATCTCTCGAACTAGATACAAAATTCATTGTATTATCCGTATATAATGTAGTAACATAATACAGAGCAGCTAGTTTGCAAGCTTGATACTAGGCAGCGCTCATTTGACAAAAAAAGAAGAAATAAAATTCACAAACGAAAGGATTTGGTTAGTAAGCGGAAATAGTATTTGAATATATTAATAAAGTTTGTAATTAAATTTATTGTTCATTAATTTTTTTTAAAAGGATCCTAATAGTTATTGCACAATCTATTGTATTATCTGTATATTATAGTAATCTTGTATCTTAGTAACTTAATATAGGTAGTTTGGCAACTTGAAACTAGATGGCATTCATTTGAAAAAAGGAATTAACACAATCACAAACTCTAAGATTTATTTAGTTATTGGAAGTCGTATTTGAATAATATTAATAAAGTTTCTAATGTAATTAATTGATTGCTATATTCTGTTAAAAATATCCTAATAGTTTTTTTTTAATACAGTACAATAAACTACTGAAAATTGTCTTTGTAGAAGACATTGGTCTTGGGTATATTATCAAATCACATAGGCTTTTCTTTTCTCTTATGCAGAGCAATTCTTTTCTTGGCGGTGGTGTAGTTTTATTTTCTGATTAAGAAAGTATTCCTTGCTGGACCGGTTAGGATTAATTAATTAGTTAAGGGATGGGTTTAGTGGGCCCTGGACTTTGTGCGTAGTTAGGGCTCGAAAGCACTTTAGACACTAACAGTGCTGTATTTATTTTCTTTTTTTATATATATTTCTTGGTACTGTTGTTATTTACTTACCTTATTTCCTTTCCTATCTAACATACCTATTTTACAACTTTCTTTTTAACATTTTAATTTTATTTAGTAAACCAATATTAATTTATATTTTATTTGTTTACCAAAGAGTAAACCTTTATTGTTTATTATTTTATGCACAATTAGATTTTATCAGATTTGTTCTATTTATTCATTTTAAGATCTTATCTTTTCATAACATATATAACAATAACAATAACATATATTCTAACCACTCACAATCACCTTCATACAAAGAATCTAAAGTTGCTACGAATACGATACACAACGAAGAGTGCTATCACTAGACGATCACAACTTTAGTTAATATTTATTTTATAGGTGACGTTACAATTGGTGCCGTGACCAAGATGTGAGGTTTCAAGCATTGTGAGATGGTGGAGTATCTTGGGAGCATGCGTGCATATTAATTTAAATTTAGTTTCACTCAATTTTGGGTTTAGAATACTAACGGTCTAATAATTATTAAATTTTTACTCGTAGGGTAGTACTTATCTGAAAACTAGTTTCAGTAGTTCTTGTATTGTTAATAAGTAAATAAAAGTAAGTCATTAATTTTAAATTATAATATGAAATAACCATTTTAATTTAATTCAGTATATTTAATCAATTCACTATCATAAGGTCATCTGATAGCAATTAATTCACTTTAATTATCTTTCTTCAATATGTGTTCATGCCTTGTATTTTAATTTCTGTGCTTTATTTAGTAAACTAAAATTTTCTCTTGCAGGATGTACAACAAAAGGTTTATTTCAATCTTCACATAATTTTTTTCATATATCTCAAATTTATATCTGTGCTTTATACTTTATTTTGTGTATATCTTTCCTTTTCATTTTAATTTCTGTGTTTAATCATGAGTACATGCTTTGAGTTTGTTTTTTTCTGTGTATATTTCCAGCTGATTCTCTTACTATGGCCAAGACATATTTTGCCAAAGCAATATCACACGAGTTTGTGAGATCGATTGTAAGACATCCTGATTATGTTTTACTTCTTTATCCGTTTGTTACCCTAGATCTCATTGTAACGGACATCCTTATTTATCTATATTCGTCTATGAAGAGTCAATAAATAATAACTGCAAAAATGCAACTTTTCAGGAGACGAAAAATACGTTTCAAATCTATTATATTGGTTTTTTCAGTACATTGCAATTATTGTTTATTTTACAAAAACATAAGAAACGAACCCAAAACCTTTGTCACTATTGTTTAGTAATCTATTTTACAACGAATATTTCAATAAAACAAAAATTGACAAAACATCAGTTATTATTTATTGACTCTTCGTGGGCGATATGTTTATATAAATGTTAGGTATTGCTAGGGCTATGATTAGTGTTAGTCTTCTGAAAAGGTGCTGGGCAAATATTTTTAATTCTATTATAGGTTTTTGGTGGATAATGCACTCGGGTATAGTGGTGACATCCTCTTGATAAGCTTAGGTTCACAAGGCAATTTAGGAGCAGTATCTTGATAGGTTAGTTTATCAAAGCCGGATCACTATGTAGGCACAACATGGAAATTGCATGCTTATTTTTACATGCCTTAGCATTTGTAAGCTCTATGTTATTACGTAACTGAAAACGAAAGAAAATAGCTTTTAAATTACATCAACACGGTGGAAAATGCACAAATGACCAATTAGTAGGTTGAGATCTACAACTTTATATAAAACACGATACCTGTTTATTGTTGGAAATAGTAAGTTAAGCAATGCATTATTACAAAACTTGCAATTATAATAAGTTACTAAAGTTACGAAAAATAATACAAATCTCACAAAATAACCTATTGGAATAGAGATGATGTTCTTATAAATCATTACTTGAATCGATTTTATGTTTAGTAACTGAATCGAGTTATCGATTAGAAAGCATAAATATACCTATGTCACTGTTTAACAATTAGCTGAGATTTCTATTATAACTGCTATACCGGCTGCATTTAAAATGACTCTCCAAATTTTTTCTAGGCATTAGGTATCGTTAATAGATCACATATATGAAAAAAAAAACGGTATGTAAAATTTTCAAAATGAAATGTAAACTTGTTGCAATTACAAGATAATTATAACATTCGCATTGTCACATTAGTTATGAATAAAACAAGGCAGCAGGGGTAGCAAGGGCGCGGGCGCAGGGGATGTACGCGCATGCGCCAACAACAATGTCTGCTCGGTTTTTTATTTTGTCGGCGCACATCAGTCAGTCGCCCGCGCACAACCCCTTTGAACGCATGCGCTTCCGCCTTTGCTTCCGTGTTGCGCACCGCCCGTCGCAGCGCCACATTTCGCGCGTCGTAATGTATTCCAATCGCGAATATTATGAAATGGTGCAGTGTTACATACATGGTGATCAACGTGACGCGGAGGCCCCATCGTGGGGCTGCGCGATCGCCGGACCTACCACAGTGTGACTTTTATTTGTGGGGCGAAATTAAAAGACGTGTGTATGTTGAGGAAGCACAAAGCCTCGAGGACTTAAGTGCAAATCAGAGCGGCATTTTACCAAGTGAAAAATGACACGGTAGTGCTCGCAAAATTAAAAGACAATGTGCAGAAAAGGTGCAAGACTCTGTTTGGAGAGGAACGGTATGTACTTTGAACAATTATTAAAGTATACGTAGGTAAATAGTTAAAGTAGGTAGGTAAATTGATTAGTTGATTAAGTACATAAAGTTGATGATTTTTTAAATACGCCCGATTGCAAAAGAATAGCGAGTTAAGTACCTACTTTGAATTGGTTTAACTAAACAGAATTTTAGGTAACTCGATATTTACTTACCTACTTACTTTATAAATTTAAAGCAGTATAGCTATTGTAATAGTAGGTATCTAATAGGATTTATGCAATTTGACGGTCCTAAGCCCGTAAAAGTATGAAGAGGTTTCAACTTTATTTATCATTTCCCCAAGCATGACAAAACGAAAACATTTTAGGTAGCTGCTATTATTACTATCAATGAATTGCGGCAAGGGAGGGAGGGGTAAGTGTAACGTAGCGCGTAAAGCGCATGTACTGGGCAGCGAGAGCGTCCACAAATGTAGGTTTTTTGAAAATAACTTGGTGACGATATAACTCAACATTTTTGTTCTAAACGACATAAAAAGAAAAAACACGTATTTCATTATTTGTCGTAAAGATTAACATACTCAAATTTGGAGAGTGGTTTTAATTGCTTGCTGTATATTAATAGTTGATTATTGTAAAGAGGTATAAAGTAAACTTTTCAGAGAATATTATATACGTAATTTCTTAGCCTTTATGAACAAATAACGATTTTCTAGATTCGAATTGGTTATATCATTCTAATCTAATCCACTCCAGTAGTATCATCATCATCATCATCAGCCCATATTCGTCCACTAAATAGCATAGATGCAAATGGTCAGCTTTGATTTTACGAGTACTATAGGTTTTGCATAGTTACTACTAGATGACATTGATAAAATATGGTCATGTAAAATTTGATGTAATATTTTTAGCTATGTCATAATAAATACAATTTAACTTTAAAATATTAGTGATTAAATTGCATAATAATCTTATTGATTCTATAAAAATGTCTTGAATATTATAGATGTCGTTGTAGTGTTTATCGGCTTAAGAGATATTTAGCTTATTATTTTAAAAACATGATACAGTTTGCACATTATATTGTGTTAAAATTATTTTAAAAGTATATTTTGCCACGGTTATAACTTTAGGCGATGACGTCTATATAGTGCCTAGGTTATATAAGGACTCGCTATCATAAATAAGATTTTATTCGTTTATTATAACAATAACACAAATACTTCAATGTAAAAAACTTTGTAATTTATTTTCTCGTGTAACTTCGTGTTCGCATAGTATAGTATTCACATTAGTTTTGGGTAGTCTGGCTTAATCTTAAGTTGTTTTGTGTATTTTAAGTGTAATTACATTGTGGTAAACATAGTCCGCTTGGTTGCATATCGGTCAGTTGCACAAACATCCATTTAGGTTTAATGACGCCTTTAAGCTCTAATGAATGTCAAATTCGTATGGGTAATGTCGCTTTAAACTAATGACAATTATAATGTATGTATGTGCAACTGGCTGTATGTCTGGTAGCGTGTAATTATTTCTGGTAGCGTGTATATATGGTCGCGTGTCAGGTAGATCGCGGAACTTGGGTTCGATTCCAGGCCTGGTCGGTGTTGATAATTGATGAGTATTACCTGTATTGGTAACATACCAAGTTGCGTATGATTTTTAAGATACCTGGGGGCGACGATTATGCGATTTGGGAATAAGCAACTTGCAATATTTAGTCTAATAACATAGCTAGCTACATAATTATATTGAGTAGTAGAGTAAGTTAATCAAATATAATAAATTGGTTTAAATGTACATATTGTTGAGAATAAACTGTATTTCTTTTAGGGTTCCATACCCCGTGGATGGAAGTGGCATTCTAGTTTTAGGACTCCTTTGCCCGTTCTTCCGGGTTTATTAAGTTATCGTGGTGGGAGTGACGTTACGGGGATAAACAAGGATTTAAAAGAGGCAAACTTGTGGTTCAACTCCATATGGAATCATTATAATTATTTAATTAATGTAATATTATTCATAGAGTGCGTGATTCAATTTGTATACGAAATGATTTCAAAGATGTTTTCAAAGGAAATGATTAAAATGATTATTTAGTTTTAATGAAAGGTATGGTGCGATTCCTACATGGTATTGTAATGGATCTTTTGACATAATTTGATTTAAACCAAATATTCAAAATATTTTAGTTTTGTTAGCAAAATGTTAGTTATAATATTAATATATTGAAGTTAAAGTTAGTATTCTCTGTCAAAGGTGACTTCGTGTTTTTTTATCGTGTCCTGGTTTCTTAAGATTAATCTATTCTCAGAGAAAACTAAGAGTCCTACCACTAGACGATCACAAATTTATAGTTATGGCCAATAGTTAGTCAATATTTTTTTTTATTTCTTTTTAGGTACCTATTTAACTAATTATTTATATATATATATATATATAACGTCATCCCCCTACATAATATATATATATTATGTAGGGGGATGACGTTACAATTATTATTATATGATATTTTGAAGAGCTCATTGAGCGCAGAGGTTTGCGCACTCGGTCAGTGATATGTTGATAAGCAACTTTCGCAATGGCCTGTCATAGGATGGGTGACCAAAAACTTATTATCTCACTTCCATTTTCCATTTTCTATTCTGGCTATTCAATTTGATTCGATGTTGAAGACCTAGTAGTGGGGACGTGTACAGGCTGGTGATGATGATGAAGATTATTTTTAAAGTATGAAATTCAATGTTTTTATTTAATTTTTTCAGTTTACTTAGCATTTTTATATAATAATTAGTTACCTTTACAATTCTGAGCACAGACACAGTTGTTGTTACTGTCTCGATAATAGCCTTCTTTGCATCTGCATTCAGGCGAACAAGGAACGGTGTTATCTGTAGGGTATTTAGGACATGTTGCGTTATTTAAAAAATCAGTGCATTTTTGTCCAGGACACTCTGGTGGGCAACTATCGTAAACTTCATTAGGCTTGTCACACGCAAACGGAGCTGAAAACGCAAAATATGACAATCAATGTTACAATACTAAATGTTGTTTTCATAAAGCTCATCATTTCTTTCAACACTTACGGCAATTTCTAATGGGTATACATAAGCCGGTGGAGCGGTCACGTTTTGAATTGAAATTGCAGACGCATCTTCCACGACCACATATTATTGGAGTCGGGCAAGTCTGTGGCGAATCTCTGTTTGCTGGACAGTATTCTCCTTCACACTCAAATTGTGGACAGTTATCGTAAAATTCTCCGATTTGGCATATCGGAGATGCTGTATGAATGTTTTTTGATGTCGTAAATTATAAACATAAATAGTGAAAAGGTTATTGAATAAAGTATTTAATTGAAATTTGTATTTTGGACGAAACGATTATATTTATTTCGTTTTTAATAAATAAAATTCAAATTATATAATATTGTCAATTATGGAAGGTGTTCTCAAGAAAACAGACTCGATTTGACGTCTGTGGACGTTCGGTTATTCGTTCGATATTGACTGTAGCCGATGTGCATCGATCGTGAATAGATAGACAGACAGACATAGACTGGAGTTACCTTCCCTTTTTTTATTTTTGTATGGAATCCTATAAACTAAATGAAATAAAGATACAAACCTACAAAACTTATAATTATTTATGAATGCCTATAACTATAAAAAGATTAACATTAAAATGATCAATTAGAAATAAAAGATATAAATTCATGTAATGGAGCTACTCTACATCTATAACACTAAGTTGCACAAACGGCCATGAAAGTTGTCGTCACAATTTTTAAAATTAGAACATTCAATAGAGCCAAAAGTTGCCATTGCAGCTTAGTTGACGTTTGTGCTACTAGGTGAGAAAGGGTTATTTTTAACCGACTTAAAAACCAAAAAAGAGGAGGTTATATGTTTGACGGCAATGTATTTCATTACACTTACGACATTCATTGCTCGGTACACATATTTCTTGAGAGTTTCTGAAGTAATTTTTTATACAGCGGCAAGCTGGCTTACAGTTTGGTCCTATCTTATTGGCTGGTATTAGCGGACAGTTGTATATTTTATCTCTAGTCGCACATGTTTGGGGCGAGCAGTCAGGGCATTTGTCGTACACTTCATTGGGTTCAGTACATATTGCTGAAATATATAATCATTTATATTATTTCAATTTCTCTGTAAATGTTTTGATTTCCACCTTTGAAGTTGTTGTTGTATCATGTGAAAAGGGGATGAATGATGTAATAGGACTAGAAAATAATAATCGGCGAAGACTAATTCTGAGACCTGGATATCCGAGCTTTGCTGGATATCTTTTTTGAAGCTGATCATTTTCTACGATCTGGCTACAACATATATCTATATAATTGCTCATTTATTATTTATTATTAAATCGTTTATTTATTAAAAGGTATTAGATATTAACAACATCTATATCTACAAATAATTCAAAACCAGAATTTGGTCATTTTATCTGTTTTCGAGTTTTGTGGGGATAAACTTTTTATTCAATTAAAAAGTAGACAATATCACTTACATGTACATTTATCGGGTGAGACGCAGTAATTTTTATTACTGTCATAATAGAAGCCATCTTTACAATTACATCCATCTAGATCACATGAAAGGATACAAATTGGACGGGGGGTCACTAAATCGGAACACCTCCTTCCACAATTATTGCCGCAGCCTGGGACCGCATTTGAATCGCCTCTACAAGATTCTGGAAAATTAAAACCAATAACGTTTCTATTCAATTGCAATTTCGAGTTTTGGTAAAACATCAGCGCATAAAGATCATTTTAAAATGTTGAAAAAACTTAAAATACCTAAAAAATCATGTAAAACTCTACCAAACGATGCAATAAATATTTAAGTTTTAAGGACAGAAAAAGTCTGCAGCAAAAATATGTTATGACAATATATAGATAGAAAAACCTGCAAAAATTCATGATTGAAGCGATTCACATTCGTAATTATAGACATTATTTATTCTGCTATTACCACCGGATACGCAGATTTAAGGCAAGATATTTTTATTGAACTTACCTTGAACATAACTTTTTATTATAACTTTATCTTAACACATCGCATTTCTATAAAAAATATTTTGCAATAAAAATTTGTCAAATAATAATATGTATCGATATTTATTAATATTACTGAAGCTGAAGTATATTGTAGTGTTTGATGAGCCATGAAAGTGAGAAAAATAAAAATATATGTTTGGCTAAAAATATTTTATATTACCTTTACACATCTGACCACTGATGCAATAGCCTGCTTTATCCCGGTAAAAGCCATCTATGCATCTACATGCTGGCTTACAAGGAACGACTATGCCTATACGGAATCTAGGACAAGTTGTATTATTGATGAAGTCTGTGCAAGTCTGTCCTGGGCACACGGGTGGACAACTGTCATAAATTTCATTAGGTCTGTCACATGGGAAAGGAGCTGAAAAGTAATGTCATCGTAAACCTTGAAAAATATGAATCTAGGTACTAGGCCAGACTCAAAGCGAATTCAGGGCGAGACTTAACGAGACTGCTGACCGTTTTTTCAAGTATCTTGTTATCTTTCACTACAAGTGAGCGTATTTCCACCAATGCATAATATGTTATGTAAACAGTGGCGATAAACATTTTTACATAAAAAAAAACTTTTAATTAAAACAGATGTGTGAAATATTATGTTTTGTATATGAGTAGCTCGGTAGCGTAGTGGCCAAGCACCGCGGCCCGCTATTGTTGTTGTTAAGCAATTTTCGCAAGGGTCGGAGATAGGTGACTAAAAAATATTATCTCGAGCTACCCCGTGCTCCGGAAACCATGTTAAGCTGATGGTTCCAGCTGCAATTGGAGTCGTCAATACTCTCCAATCTGCATTGGGCCAGCGTGAAGGGTAACCCACCCACCCTCTTTAACCATGCACAAGAAGTGTCTGAGCCCCTGCAGTGGGGACGTAAAGGGGTTGATGGTGATAATGATGATAGCAAAATTAGCATTATGAATACAAAAAGCACAATAATAAGACTTTATCAACAGATATATTTTTTCATTAATTAAAATTAAACAAAAGCAGACAATGATTACAGAAGCTTGCAGCACCGTTTGCCGTGACTTATTAAAACCTTTAACAATACTCACGGCAATTTTTTATCGGTATACATCTGCCTGTTAGTCGATCACGTTTTGTATTGAAATCGCAGATACATCTTCCCTTTCCACATATCTTCGGGGACGCACAAGCCTGTGGCGAGTTTCTGTTGTTTGGGCAATAATCTGCGTCACACTGAATTGGAGGACAGCTTGAATACATCTCATTACTTGGACACGTTGGATTTCCTGCATGGATGAATACAAAATTAATAATCATCAGTAATTTTTATGAATCTAATCTTTTGTATGTATTTTGATTATTATTTAAGGAAAAATCTACAGCTCTCATATTTTCAACAAACATAAAATTAGTCATGAAGCAAAAAATAGTCAAGAACAGTTTTAGTTAATACTATGTGTTAATTGACCTATTTAGAGATAAATATTAAATAATATTTTAAATAAATAATGTTATCATTTACCACATTCACTGCTTGGAATACATATTCCTTGGGAGTTTCTGAGATAGCCTTTTTCACATCGACAAGCTGGCTTACAATCGGATTCCGTTTTGCTGGCCGATATCAGAGGATAGGGATATGTTTCATATCTACTCTCACATGTTTGGGGCGAATCATCAGGGCATCCATCATAGACTTCATTGGGCTCAGTACATATGTCTAGAAAAAATGGATATTAGGTAGTTAAACTGCCGACATGGATGCATAATTGTATAGTTATAATATAATTCACATTATGTTTAATGCAATATAAATTATGGATTAAGAAATATTAAGGAATCTTAAATATTATGAAACCTATTTTATTTTACTTCAGCGAGATTCGTTCAATAATAGCGAACGTTTTTCCCTCTAAGGGATAAAAACGATGTATGTCATGTCTTGCGTAGCCTTGACCATGTGAGATTACATCCTTCGATCTTCACGTGAACACACGTGTCAATGCCCCTCCCGCGCCATCTAGCCACGCCCCCAGCCCCGCGCGCGGGGACGTTAAACGAACGGAGCTGCGAGCATGGTCCAGTCGGTTACAGATACAGTTGTCAAGAGATTACCTGGTTAAGCCTAGGCAAGACATGAAATACATTGTTTTTATCCCTTAGGAGGAAAAACGTTGGCTATTTCATGGTCTGTGTCGTCGGCTTGACCATGTGAGATATTTTTGGGTTCTGACGACATGGGGGAAGCGATTCAGAAAAAAATTGTAAATGCTTGTGTAATGAATTCAAATAAATATTTTCGAAAAAACTGATAATATTTGAATTATAGAATCACAATGAAACAAGACATAAATCAAAAGATTCAGTAGAAACAATAATAGGAACCTTAGATAGTACTAAAATTAGCATTAACTAAACTTAAGTCAATGAAATCATATATGGTAGGAATACTGATTATTTCCTTAAAATAGTGTCTAATCACATTATGATCACTATGTCAGTTACCGTTATTTAAAATTATATCTAATGGAACCATATTTGTTTTTCTAGAAGAAGCCACTGCGGAATGAATACTGCCAGGTGAAAAACTTATATCTACTTCTGAAAAGGCTATTTTCAACTATCCAGCAATCACTAGACTAGACTAGACTCTGCGGTATTTTGAAATCTTTCAACGAGAGATGAATACGAGTAGTTGGGATGCGTTATTACAAACAATTTCACAATATGCATGAAATGTAAGTTGATCATCGAAGTTGACGCCCAGATCTCTAACACTAGTTTCGCTTTTCAGAATGGAACCCATGACATTATAAGTAAATTCAACTTTGCTACGCACACCATCGAAATAAATAACAAAGCACTTATCAATATTAATAAACATACGATTACCACCGCACCAAGAGGCAACAACCTCGAGGTCACGCTGTAGTGATTTAGCATCGTCTATAGATGTTATCACTTTAAAAAGTTTTAAATCGTCAACATAAAGCAAACAGTGGTTGGATACTTTATCAAAAGGTCATTAATAAATATGACAAATAAAAGAGGACCGAGAAGTGATCCCTGCGGCACCCCTGAAGCGACAATAGAAGGACTGGACAGATAACCATTTATTGCTACAAGTTGGCTACGTTTATTTAGTTACGACTCGAAACATAGAAGGAGATCGCCGTGAATCCCGTATGAACAAAGATTGTCTGTCCCTTACATCCCGAGATACATAAATTGGAACTACTTTGGGTCTGTTCAATGCAAAAAATTACACTCGCATGGTTAGTACGGCTCGCATGGTTGATTCATAAGATTCGCGGGAATGTTCCGTACGGCTCGCAGGAATGACCCGTACGGCTCGCAGGAATGACCCGCACGGCTCGCAGGTATGAATCATACGGCTCACGGGGTTGACCCGCACGGTTCGTGGGGATGACCCTATTGGATGGTAATTTGTAAAATACACCTAAGTGTTGGATGTATAAGCAAAATTTATTGTACAAATAGTTAGGTGTAAAACACAAGCATTTACATACAAATAAAATCCATTTACCATCATGAAAATCCGTATCAAATAGTATTATATTAATAATACCGTCGAACGTTCAGTAATGACAGGTGTTATATTCAAACAAACACACGTCGTTATAAAATTTTATCACAAATGATACCTGTATAACACGTAACATAATCGAAAGCGTACTGTCTGGATCGCGCTCCCAGCACCGTTCGTGGAACGCTCGGAGAAGGGAACGTGGCTAGACGGCGCCGGAAGGGCATTGTCATGTATGTTAGCATAAAGATCTAAGGATGTAATCTCACATAGTCAAGCCGACGACACAGACCATGAAATATCCATATAGATGTATTCAGTAAAGAAATGAATATATAAACTTAATTAATTTGTTTTAATTATAGGCATGCCGCTTTGTCATTTTTCACATGAAACAATCTTTAGTGAACCATATTCGTATACACACTGTACACAGTTAAACCGTAATTTGCAGTATTGATAATCTGTAGTAGTACCACCATGCGTCATAATAAATATATGTATGTGGAATAATTAAATATGTATATTGGGGTTTACAATGTAAATAAAATATCATTATGGTACTGTCACAAAGCATTCTCTGCCGCCGTGATTGTAATTTTACCAAACAGACATACTAAAGGTTGTTTGTCTTAAAAAATTAGGTAATGCTAATTGTTCATTAGACATTTTATATGTGACATCACTTACCAGAACACTCTTCGGGTTTGACACATTTTTTTGTATTTTTATCGTAATAGAATCCAACCTTACAATTGCATCCGTCCGGCAAACAAATAAGGATGCATATTGTTTGCGGGTCAATTAAGTCGGTGCACTTCTTTCCACAATTTGTGCCACAACCAGGTATTGCATTAACGTCACCACCACAAGAATCTAGAAAATTATAAAATACTACATTTGAAGAAGCTCACACTAAACAGGCGTGAAATAATAAATTGCAATTTCACTACGATATTTTTTTCAATTTATTATTATATTAGGCTCGTGTCCTACAAGTGAAAATACCGATTTCTGTTTATAACTATAACTATATATATAAATAACTATATAAATTTTAAAATGATAATTTGGTAAACATTACGCTTTGAAAACTTGAGAAAAGTAGAAAAAATAAACAACAAAAATTTGTTAAAATATATATGGCATTAAATTAGTTACATAAAACGTTACAACTTTAATTACAACAGAAACGCCTACAACAGAAACGCCTACAACAGAATTTAGTATCTGGAAGTGGTAGGGAGCGTTAAAGGCCTCCACAAACATATCTCCGTATTTCCGAAACTTTTAATTGCAGACATGCTGTTGTTACATTATTTCTGAGATATTAATGAACTATTTATTTATAAAACAAAAAAGTTGTCAACTAGCCAAAACCAAATAATGTAATATTATTTAGGAATTAACAATAAATTCGAGTAAATAAACAACAATATAAAATATAAATGCAAAAATTTATACCATATTCATTATTCTAGACTCTATGTCAGTTTAAAAAAATAAACTATCACTTACCACATTGGCTGCTCGGCACACATACTCGTTTTGAATTTCGATAGTAGCCTTGTTTACAGCGGCAAGATGGCTTACAGACTCGTATGAGCGGGCAAAAGTATTGTTTATTTCTAGTCAAGCAGGTTTGGGGCGAGCAGCCGGGGCATTTGACGTACACTTCATTTGGTCCAATACATATTCCTACAAAACAAATCTGTATAGTTCTAACTATTAGTCGTTGTCGTCACTAAAGTCGTTACGCAATCTCAGAAATTATAAGTAGTACTTGAAACAGTCTTAGTGGTAATTGAATCAAATAAGATATAAGAAATATGAGCATATCTTGTTATTTATCGAGATCATCATACTTATAATTGTGGTAAACTTTTAACTAGAGTGGAATTTAGTAAGCATCTGAATTAGGATTAAACTAAACTAAACCAAATTAGCAGTATAAATGCGTCGACACACGCCAAAGCAAAAATTCCGCTTGAATAATTTAGATAATCTAGTAATTTATAAGTTCATGGCTCCTTCTGATTCCAGGAGACTCGGTTGGATATTGAGTTGCGATATAAGATTTCAGACAATCTTCTGGATTAAATGACCAGGGGGCTTTGTCATTTTCTCTTCCCGTAGCTTATGATGTATAATAGGACGTTACTTATGTACTTAGAAAGTTTAATCTATATTGGAGTTACAGTGACTGAGTGGGGTTATTATTGCTTAGTGGACTTTTTTGCATATGATTTCAAAAAGTTAGTTTTACGGAATCAAAAGACGTCTCACGTTTTATGAGCTTTTGGGGTAGTTAGTTCAGTGTGAATATAATTTACAACTACTTTTGCATTCAAAATTAACTCACTTTTACCGTTATTAGATTGAGTAGAGGCGCTGGCTATTGCTGAACTAGAAGTATCTGACAAAAATATTATATTGTGTTATAAGTTGGTTAAGTTACGTAAAGTGAATTTTGTGAATTATAAATAATTTGTCTCACAATATTTCTTTTACATATATATTTTTTAATTAAACCGTATAACTATAGATTTATGATTATGTCAACCATTGTAAGGTGTAAGGTCACCATAAGGTCTATCAACTCCTGAGGATGCTCCGTGGAGGTAAGAAACACGTGTAGTGTGGTGATTATGCGAGACTTGTTGCTGTACATGTGAATTTGTGTGCGGACGGTACACAGCAGATCTTGCGGATAATGACTAGGTGTGGAAGGTATTGGATATTGTAGTTTCATTGTTATAACAATGGCCTTCAGCAAAATAAAACAGTAGCTCGATGGCGTAGTGGATAAGCGTCCGCAATCATTGTTCTTAAGAAACTTTCGCAAGCTACTTCGTGCTTCGCAAGGCACGTTAAGTCGTAGGTGTCAATTTGTAGACGTTAATACCTTCAAATCCACATTGGGCCAACGTGGAGGTTTGGCTAGTCCTCCTTAACCATGTATAAGAAAGGACTGAGCCCCTGCAGTGATGGCGAAAAAAAAGTGCAGATAATGATGACGAAAATAACGCTTGGTTTTATTATTATTTTTTTGTAATTATAGTCTACATTAGTTTAAAGCTTTATAATTTTACAGTAGAAATAATTATATAACTCACTTCCACCATTAGACTGAGCAGCAGCAGCAGATGATGCCGAACTAGAAGTCTCTGTAATATACATAAAAATAAATTAATTTTTTATGTCAGGAGCAGGGAACGGATACCCCGTTCATAACGATAACCGCTTATAACGGTTATCGATTCATTCGCTTACTGCTTGAAACGGTTAACAGATTGAAAGTGTTTATTACTCACTTCCACAAACGTTAGACTGAGCAGCGGAGCTAGCTGCTGCTGAAGATGAATCAGGCTTCCCTGTATAAAAAAAATGTATGTACAAAAAAAGGTGTATATGTGAGGAAGATATTAATATACTTTATAATATTAATATAGATTATAACAACTGAGTATCATATGAAAATATAGCATACTACTACTTTATAAGGCTTAGACTGTAGGATCTAGCAAATCAGAAACTTATAAAGCCTGCGATGGATTGTTCGATCGATGTATCAGTCGTGTATCAGATTTAACTTCTCCAAGGAGTCTTACATTTTCCACATCTGAAGTTGCCCGGTCTATTGCTCTGCCCGAACCACCGACGCGCAATATATGAACAATAAAAATGCCGATGACGTCATTCAGATTATTTTCATACAGCTACTTTACAATACTCAACAGCGTTATATCAAAACTATCAACATAATTCCGATGTGAAAACAGACAATCGGATATTTAATACAAGCACCTATGAAAAATTCTGATGTAGCGGACGCATAACATTGGAAAATCATTACAATCCGTTGCCTGTTACAGTTCCCTAGGGATAATTAGTATATTATAATTTACGTGTGTGAAATATGAGAAAAACGCTCTTCTCTTCGCTTTTAAATCTTTTAGTTTTATTGTAAATAACTACGAGTATATAACTCACTTCCACTGCTGCGAGATTGAGCAGCGGAGCAAGCTGCTGCTGAACTTAATGTACCTGTAATTTTGATAAAACATATATACATTCTACATATATGACAGTGAGCACTGCAGTTAGATTATCATATTGGGACATCATGTTTCCCAATATGATAATCTAACTGCAGTGCTTACTGCTAGATGGTATAACATTAAAATAATTTGCCTTATTTTTTTTTGTTTGCGACTGGTGTAACTATCATCTACACATATTTTAGGGTTTACAGTTATAGTTGTAAAACTTACTTCCATCATAATTAGATTGAGCCGCGGCGTTAGATGATTCAGAACTAGAAGTCTTTGTCATGTGCATACAATATATGTAAAATTAGGTGAGCAACATTTGAATCTTTTGTAACTGTCATTTAAGATGATAAAATTTGTGTAGATATTATTTTAGAGTTAATAATCATAGTTGTAATAGTTATAAAACTTACTTCCATTATCATTAGATTTAGCAGCGGCGGCAGATGATGCCGAACTAGAAGAGTCTGTGATATACATAAAAATATATTTATTGATTTTTGTAACCAAATGGGAACAGACAACCCATTCATAACGGTAATCGTTTATAACGATTATCGATTCATTCGCTTACCGTTTGAAATGGTTACAGATTGATTCGGTGTTTTTATTTATAGCGAAATGAAAGAGTTAACAGTATACAGTCTGAACCGAATGAAATGGGTTATTAATTGAAACTGTTATGGTTAGCCCGGGTTTTTTGCGGTAATTCTTATATTTACCCTAATAACCGAAATATATCGAAACGGTATATAACGGTTTTTACTTATTACCAAGTAATTCTTCACATTATTCGTTATATTCTTATTAAATAATGTGAAAAATTTAGGGCACAAAAATGCCACTGTATTAAAATATATATAATAGAATAATCGGTTACGATCAACTCTGGCGTATTTTGTTTCAAAGACATGTTATCTGAAGATGTATTAAAGATATGCTAAAGAAGTAGGTAATAAATCGACTCGGAACGAAAAATAACACATTCCATAGCTATCAAACATGCAAAAACTGAAACCATTCAGTTAAAGATAACCTGAATATTTTGTAACAGGCTATTTCGGTTTAACACATATGTTTCTGTAACCAAAATATTTCTGTTAACCGATTATAAAAATACCGAAATGAACCGTAAACCCATTCACCGTTTGGGTTATTTACAGTGTCGTTTCGGTTAATACCCATAATCGTCCAAACCCTGGTTAGGTGAGCACCACCAACGATATGGCAAGTCTTTAGGAAGCATGATATAATAAGAAATATATCTTATTATTGAACTATTTGATTCGTGGAACGTATGGCATGTTTTTGTAACTGACAACTTATAATATCCACATAAAACATAAAATCTTATTATTTTTTTATATATATACTTTATAGGTTAACGCTTGACTACGATTTTTTAGTCGTCTAATGCGATTACGATAAATTTGTAAAAATGCCTTTTACGTCAAACAGTTTTATTATAAAGTAATAAAGATACCGTATTCTATGATTTTCCATTTTATTCTGGACGCCAATTTACATATGAAATTATTTCAAGCACTGTTACTATTCAAATCTGTTAGAAGTGATGATACAAATTACATACCTGTGGTTTATAAAAGTGTAATGCGCCATTTTGTGGCAATTGCCAACTTAGTTTTATAATAACAAAAAAATAGACATAATTGTGTCATCAACATAACTATAAAATAATTTATTAGACAGTAGCTTTTGTCAGTTATAGAGATGACAGATATTTCAGTCGACGTTTATTTGGATGATATATTTTTTATTATTTTTTTTTATTTTATATAGCTAAAAACTAGTTCAGTAAATACAGGCAGATATTTGATGACAATTATGTGAAAGTTAATCTAATATCTAATGAAATCTAATATGATAGACAGACCGCTGAATAGAATGCTAAGACTAAGTTTTATTTTGATTTAAATTTTCACAGTATTGTGATAATGGTACGATACCTGCATAAGAAGCTTTTAAGAACAAGCCAGCTAAGACAGCCAGTGTGACCACAAACTTCGACATATTTGATATATTAATATCTGAATATCAGTGCCTACCTTTCTTTCCCTGCTACCTTACTTATTTTATTGTTAAATCGTGTAGTCATAAAACCAAATACGGCGAATAGTTTGAGTTTTTTATTCATATTATTTTTTTATAACCCTAGTAATTATAACAGATGTCATTAATATTTGTTAAGTACTCACGTTCTAATATACTGCGAAATGTTAATTGATATTTCATGACAACGAAATTCGAATATTCTGCTTGGATATAAGTTACCACTTCCACTTTGCAGAAGACTACAGGTCCAGTGTGGAAGTTAATATTATGTACAGTTAGGTTTGACTAATATTATGGCTGACGGTGAATCTTCGTTTACGTAGAGGTGATGAACCAATTCCGACTATGACCGAAAGAACGATTAATGCTAATGAGCCTTATTTCAATAACCATAAAATGTACAATACAACGATTTAGGTGTCCGTCTCAATCAGCAGGAGTCAGGCGCATGGATATTACTGGATCGACTGAGGGCGTGATACTTGAATCACTGTGAATGGCCACGTGAATCTGGACTGAGTGATCCTTTTTCAGTTTTTAACAAACGTTTAGTCAAAATTGGAAAATTCAATTCAGACATTAGACAAAATGGCTACAAGCCGTATCTCAGGAAATACACTGTGAATAAAATTTTCATATTTTGTACAGAATTTGTCACATTATTTTCCAAAAAAAAAAAGAAGTATCTTGATTTTTTGTAAAATAATGTGACAAATTAATCAACGCAAATCCAGGATTCTACGATAGTTTCAATGGACCACTCAATCATTTACTCGTAGATTGAGTGATTGAGTGATTCTATAAATCCGGCAATATGCTTACAAAGTACATGATAACTTTTTTTACTTTAAAAGAACTTATAAATGTATTTGCACAAATTAATTTCACACGACAAATGTTTATAGTTAAAAAGTTATGCTCAATCAAAGCTCTTTAAATTTGCTGAATTAAGTGATCCTTATAAACGCATGTAGATAGCAACTCCTTGGTAATGGAATATACATAATACGTTAAAAATTTGTACAAAATCGTGACTAAAATTTGGCATATAATTTATTTGTTAACGTCATTTTATTCATGATATATTCATTTTCCATTTTTATTTAAAAGAAAACTATTTTAGGGTGCATGTAAACTTCGGATTTTGACAGACATTTTTTCTACCGTTATTTAAGCTAGGTACTTTTCGGGAGTATGGAGCATCATTGCTCATTTAGTTCTAAGTTGTGTCAGACAGTGTAAGAAGTGTAACGGGATAGTGATAATTAGGTCCTCAGTTTTCCTGTTCTGTGCAACAATGTAAGTACATCGTCCTTAGTTTAATTATAAATATACATTATACTGTACATGCTTACATGTACAGCGTAATCAATGCTTTTATGAAACTAATTTATAATATTTAAACGATTGTTGTTTCACAAATATCACTGATTGCTAAGTAAACAAAATAAGAAGTTTATGTTAATGAACTTAATTAATGATTCAATTACTGCAAAAAAAACTTTACGCATAATAATTTTAAATAACAATTCCAGGCGTTTCTTTATTTACAGTTAAAGTCGGGATTTTTTTTATTAATTTACTTATTTTATTTTTATTTATTATTAAAACGGTTTTTATTACAGACGCTTGAACCATGAAGCGGGGTTTAAAATCATTAATAGATTTGAATAAACAATTACATCTGTTTGATAAATATGCCATTATTTCGATTAATCCGCGTATTATATATAATGACCCATTTTTTTTAAATATGTCAAGAATTTGATTCCAAAATGTCACCAATGGCTTTATATTTGTCTTTTAAAAGAAACTGCAATACTGCTCATTTAAGAAACAACGTCATCTTAGACAAAGATCAATAAACAGAAGATACTTCTGGACTTTCTACTCTTACAATCTTAACATCGGGTACAAGTAATAGTCCAAAAACTGTTTTAGACGGTAAAAGTTGTTCATTTATATTTGACGTCGATGCCTATGATTTTAAAATAATTTCGCCTTTATATTTAGGGAGGAACTACCTCTTTCGGGCCATTATCAGAGATATAAGTCGTTACCAAAATTCAAATGGTCAGATATGTTAAAGACATGTCAGACCTTCGTTTCGTCATCGTTTCGTTGATTTCGTTTCGGAAAGGAAGAGTCGAAGAAGACATAGTAAAGCAAAAGTTAAAAATAAAATTTATTAAAAATGGCAACTTGTGTAGCTCCGTTCTTATTGTTGCTAATGAAACACAATTATCAAATACCTGTGCTTTTTATTCAGTAATGTATCTATTATCTTTAGGATGCAACCAATATAAACATATTGAAGATGATATAAACAATCTCACTGACATTGATTCAAAGCACATTTAAATTGAGATCTCTTATAGCTGTTCAATATTTTACCAAAAACCAAGCCGGTTGAGCAATAACCATGGATTGTGCTTGTAATGTTACGAAAATTTTCCAATCAATTCTACTAAAATGCTTTATAAGTGCAGTTTCCACAAGAACGTGCTTAACAGAATCTTGCAGAGCACCGAAAACATTATAAAATATTGTATTCTTACCCTTGATCGTAAATATAATTACTGTAATTACAATTCACTCTCTAGAACATGCAATTTCTTGTAGCGATGAAAAGGGAACTTGTATGTACTGTGGTGGTACTGCTGTCTATAATTACGAACTTTCAAATATTTTTTTCAGTGAAATTAAATGGAACAGATAAGTAAATTTATTTGATGTGCCCGAAAGGATTTCGATTAAAAATAGGTTCTACAGATTACTAGGAGGTATAGAATTCATACCATCCGTGCATCCTGGTGGAATCGGCCATTATCGAGCCCATGGGTATATAAATGGGCGCATGGTTTGCTATGATGATAATATGCTAAAAACTTACATATAACAGTAAGAAAGAATCACTTATATTTTTACATGTTCATACATAAGTAATTTGTGAATTGGAATTTCAATAAAAAGTAAAAATTTTATATATGTACTTATATAGCTTTTAAATTCCCTATAAATTCGTATTATGGTCACCCTACTGTATATTTCTTCGACAACAAATTAAAAAAAAGAAAACTGAAAAAGTATCTCTCAATCCAGATGCACATTGATTGGCCGATATTTACAACGCTTCAAAATTTATGCTTCTATTATTGTAGGCACATCAGTTGTATCTTACTGTAGTTTTATATGTCTAGTGAGTACGACGATGAGATGTAGGTAATCGTGCATATTGGTGGTATTTTGCATTAAACTTTAAGCTTAATTACATCGGTTTTATGTTAACTATCGTAAGTACATAACTCGCGCTATTTATAACTTTATTTTTTCAGAGGGAAATGCCACGTGATGGTCATTACAAAATACCATTGCTGTCGTCTTATGAACTATATCTGTATTATTAATAGTAATAATAATAGAATAAAACAGAGGTTTAATGGTAGGTATGTAAATAATAATACACATAAATTACACCAAAATAGAAGTTTATTTTTAATTTCTGATGTTTAATCGACGTATCGCTTGATGGAACTGAAACGGAAAAGGAAAACTTTATTGAATAGTTATATTACTTTAAAACTAAACTTTTTAGGATATGAAATCTAAGACAGTTGAACGAAGTATATTTATTAGTATTGGAAATATAAAAAAACTGTTCTTAATCGCGCACAGTGAAATTTAACGTAACATGGAATATAAGTGTAGGTTAATACACCTACAAAGGAAAATGAAGTGAAAAGTGTCTTTAATAAGAAACTATACAAAAAGTACATTAAATAAAAACAAAAAGGAACTAAAATGAGTTAGTTACATAATTGGTGAGACCCAAACCATAACACAATGTTTTAAATTTAAAACTTATGCATATTGATCCATTTTGAATATAGCAATAGAGCATACGCTGTAAGTACCTATTCAATCAAGACAATGCATATTTACTTAATAGAACATAACATCAGTTTTGTTTGCGTAGTTAGTATAGCAAGTTTTTTGTTAATTAATTTATCTTCACCTTATCCGTTATATGTTCCACAGAATAATAAAATATTTCGAACTTTAATACAATAGATATAAGGATGATCGGCTCTGACAATATGGTCTCGGGGTGCTATGGTAGCTGTGGGAGCTGGTACTACAACAACTGCAAACAAAATTGATAGTTGGTTAATAAAAAAGGTTTGATGTTAAATTTATTAGTATCCCTTTGTTAATAATAAATAAAGTTACTAAAAACTAAGTACAACTACCTCATCCAGTGAAAATTCCAAAGAAAAGTATTATGCCTCTTATTCTTATGCAGTAAATGTAAGGATGATCCGCTATTACAATAGGTTCTGGTGGAGGTGGCGGTGCAGGCATTGCAGGCATATGAACCATAAAACCTGTTGCGAAGATATATTTTGTTGCAAGTTCAAGAGATTTTATTTTCAATTCTTAAAGTACGATTGAAATTGTTTCACCCTCCATAAGACTACAAAGGCATTTTAATGTTCATTTATGGTCTTGGTTAAAGAATCTTTTAGGTAGGATTATACATAGGTTTTGATTTTATCATTTTTTAAATATTTTCCCGTTATTATCCGAATCTTAAGATTTCATATGGTCCTTGAAGCCATACTCAAAATAATCGATAATTCAAGAAAATCTTCAAAATTGGATCATATTTTAGTCAAGTTATTTACAGTGCAGGACTCTTTAGAAGAGCAATTTATACGAGTATTATTATTCAAGTAACTAGTTTATCTTAGAATCTTATTCGATTTATACTCGTTAACTTCTAAAACTTAATTAGATTATTACCCAGAAAAATGATTAATTTGGGTGGGTATAGGTTTAATTAACAAAGTTTGGCATTCATTTTACATTTTATATGTATTTCGAAATATTTTGGGGGTAAAGAATTCAGAAAATGAAATAATGTTTGAATCTATAGAACAATATTGGTCAACATTCCAAGTTAATGATTTATAATAATGATAATGATAAAGGTTATCTTAAAGCACACATTTTCCTATATTAGTTCAAAATAACCCCGTAAACAAAAGAGTTTGAGACTACAAACTACCTCATCCAGTAAAAATTCCAGAGAAAAGTATTACGCCTCTTATTTTAATAAAGTAAACATAAGGATGATCTGCTTTCACGACGTAGTTTGGTAGAGGTGGTCGAGGTAATGCTCGATTGGATACGATAAAGGCTGTGAACATGTTTACAATTTTTAATACTATCGTAACTTATCATACTTTTGTTTCTGGGTGAAACAACGATAGAGCTGTCTGGGGATAGATTTAATTAACAATCTTTTGAATTCATATTACATGTGTATTTAAACAATATTTTTGGAGGTCCTTGGTAAAAATTCGCAGTCAATTACTCATGGTTTCAATCTGCAAAACAATATTCGCCAACATTCCATGTTAGTGATTATCAATTACAGTTGGTTAATACAAAAGGTTATCTTAAATGACATGTTGGAAATCCATATATTAGTACAAAATACCCGACTAAACAAAGTGGTTTAAGACTTCATATTACTACCTCATCCAGTGAAAATTCCAGAGAAAAGTATTATGCCCCTTATTTTTAAAAAGTAAACATAAGGATGATCTGCATTCACAACGTAGTTTGGTAGAGATGGCCGAGCTAATGCTCTAGTGGACACGACTACAGCTGTGAATATGTTTAAGTATTTAAAAGTTTTATTTTTTATATCAAAATAAGCTAAACCAAGTCAACTTAATTTTTTTATTTGTTTTATTAATTTTGATTTACCAAAATTTAATACATTATTACATACAATAATAACTTGATTTCACAAGAAGAAATGTTTCAAACAATTACAGGTAAATACCAAATGCAACTACCAAATTTTATTACTAACAATAAAAGTTTGGCATTACTAGTCCTATCAGAATTTTAATTTTTAAGGTTGCACTAATAAAGTATTATTGAAAATGAAAAAATGCATCATCAGCCCTTTTATGTCCCCACTGCAGGGGCTTAGGCCTTCCTGATGATTAAGGAGGATAGGCCTTGAACTTTCACGCTGGCCCAAGAGAATAGGAGATAATTAACGACTGCAAATGCAGCTGGGACCAACGACTTTACGTGCTCTCTGAGGCATGAAGTTAGCTCGAGATAATATTTTTTTGTTGACCCATCCCGCGACCAGTCCTTGGGAAAGTGGCTTATTAGCTGTATCGCAGGCAAACTCCTTACCACTGCGCTATCGCGTTCCCTAATTTTTGGGCAAAGCATTTTATTAAATTATTTAACCTTTATTGATTTATTTGTATTACCATTAGCGGCGGCTGCTTCTGAACCCTCTTCATTGATTGCAACAAACGCTTTCTGAACGGCTTCAGACACATATAAGGGTTCATCAGGCGTGATCATTCCGCTAATATTACAATTAGTATTGAAAACGCTATCAACTCCTATCTGAAAATATGGAATATATGTATATGAATTTATTTATGTTATCATAAATTCCTCAAACAAAGGTATAATAAAGCTTGCATTACACTAAAATTTTATATAAATAACTCATTAGGCTTACTGGTTTTAACACGTTCTTCAAATTGATAGTCGATTTAACCTCTATTTTAGGCATGTGTAAAGTTACTGTTTGCGAGCTTAAACTGTTCAATGCTGTATCGAGGACTTTAGGATCTTGAATTTTTTCAACTAAGCTTGATAAACCAAATCGTTGATTAGGCACGGCTACCCAAAGCGTGACGTTCCCATCCAGATACGGTAGCTCAATAATCTGAGAAAGACAAAATAGATAATAATAGTTTTGAAAAGAAATATGATAATAATACCAAATTCATCATTATTTTGTTTATTACCTGCGCGTCAATGTCATTGTTGTAGGCATAATTCATTTTGGTTTTTAATTTCATCATATCAACTTTCACGGTTTTGTTTGGATTTACGTAAAAATCTGATGGTTGTGTCAGTTTAGCATCAAACTTTGTTTTCCATGTGCCCTTAAAGTAATGACTTGATTATTATAATTTTCTTTGACGCTACGAATTAAAAGTGAAATAAAATGCTGACATACCTTGAAATAAACAGCATTAACTAATGCTAAACGAGTTAGGGAGTTGAACATAGTAGGTGATACTAGATCTGTGATTTTGCCTTTAGTTTTATCTGAAACCTGATAAAGAGAGTTTTATTTAGGAAAAATTAATACTCATTAATTATCATTATTCAACATCATACATGATTCATAGCCCTCTGTTACCATACAGTCTTAGAACTTATTTAGATGGACATGATAGAACTATAAGGGTTTACTAAAGAATCCCAAAAAATAATAATATTAGATCAAACAAAAAACATTTATAGTATTACCCATTGGTTGATAATATCAGCTGCTTGGTTACCATTGTTAAAATCAACAGTCTCCGATTTAGCGTTGAATACATTATTAAGATCTTGTTCGAATGAGTTGCTTGGTTTATATCGGTTGGCTATATAAATTTTGTCAGCAAGATCCAATGTGGTTCCTTCACTTGTTTGGAAAGAATTCATAAAGTCTTTGTAGACACAGCGTATCTATAAAAGTGGCACATTAATTAATATTTCTCTCTTGTATTATAAGTGACAACAAAAGTTTGTCATTTAACAAACATCTTACTTTTTAAACCTCACCTGTTCTTTGGTCTTAAGATTTAGAACATTACTGATTTCTGTATACGTTGAGGCTTCAGCGTACAATGCCAATTTTGCCAAAGGAGTTAAAACTGATGCAGCAGATGTGACAACACTGACTCCAGGTGTAATATTCATAAGTTGCTAAAAGTTTGGAAATTAATGAATGGACTGAACACGATTTTGAACATGTAATTTACTCAATAAATTGTAATATATGATTAACAGATTTTTGGATAATATTAATTGTATGGTTTTATCAAACGTTTCAGCGACAATTGATAAATATATACTTACTTTTAAAAATTTCGCACTGAAAGTGTTGCTTCCTTGTATGAGAGCCAGTTTGAGACTTGCTACATCACCACAAGAGTTCTGTGTCGTTGTATTTGTTGTCGTTTGTGTTGTGTTATTGCTTCCTATTGCTGCCTCTTCTTTTCGATTCAATGAAATACAAAACGTATTGTGAATAACTTTAAAAATAACTTAACTTTAATTATAGTTACGAGGGTCAAACTGAAAGTTCTTAGAACTGGCCACTTATAAACAATATAATAAAAAAATAATTCTAAAATTTGAAAATATAACTCTTTGCCAATATTACTGAGTATATATTTCATTCATTTGTCATTTGTTTTACGATTTGGCGGCAAATTGAAAATTGTCTGTGTCACGTCATCATGAATTTAACACGAGAAAATTTTCGTGCAATGATTTTTTATGACTTTCGATGTCATTTAAGTCAACAAGAAAGTTATGATAGACTACGATTGGCCTTTCACGATGAAGCCCCATCTCGTGCGACTGTTTACAACTGGTTTAATGAGTTTAAACGTGGTCGCACTAATCTCACTGATGATTTACGTGAGGGACGGCCTTCTACGGCGACGACTGAAGATAACATCTGTGTTGTGCGGCGTATGATAGAGACTGACAAAAGAGTGACCTATCAACAGATTCGGACAAGCTTAGGCATCGGTATGAGTCAAGTGCACAAAATCCTCCACGAACATTTAGCGGTCAGGAAGCTTTGCGCCCGGTGGATACCTCATAATTTGACTGCGGCTCAAAAACTCCATCGTGTGGATTGGTGTCGTAAAATGATTGAAAGATTTAACGGAGGTGACTCAAATGCTGTGTTCGACATACTAACAGGTGACGAAAGCTGGATTTACTGTTATGATCCTAAAACCAAAAGACAATCTGCTCAGTGGGTGTTTCCTTTCGAGGAGTTGCCAACTAAAGTGAAGAGAGATCGAAGTGCGGGAAAAAAAAATGGTGGCCTCGTTCTTTGGAAGGATAGGTCATTTTGCAACAATTGTGTTAGAGGATCAAAAAACAGTTTCTGCAGAATGGTACACTACCAATTGTTTGCCACTTGTCTTGGAAAAAGTTCGAGAGAAACGACCTCGCAGTAGGATCCTCCTTCACCACGACAACGCCTCGTCGCACACCGCCAAGCGAACGATCGACTATTTGGCGACATCAAACGTTGAATTACTGGGTCACCCGCCGTATAGCCCCGACCTCGCGCCTTGTGATTTTTATTTATTTCCAAAAATTAAAGAAAAACTTAAGGAAAGCGGTTTATGAATGCTGAAGAAGCGGTGGCTGCGTATCGCGATGCCATTGAAGAGACCCCTAAGGACGAGTGGGCAAAGTGCTTTTCCCAGTGGTTCCATCGCATGCAGCGGTGTATTGACGTAAATGGACAATATTTTGAAAAGATATAATAAAACTAATAACTGGCTAATGTAATCAGTTTTTGATTTTCTAAGAACTTTCAGTTTGACCCTCGTATTGTTTCAGTTGGAATTTAGATATAATATTTTTCTATTACCTTTACATTTTTGACCACAAACACAGTTGCCTTTGTAATCTCGGTAATATCCTTTTTTGCATCTACATGCTGGTTTGCAAGGCAGGACTATACCTATGTGGTATTTGGAACACGTCGCGTTTCTCAAAAAATCACTACATTTTTCGCCAGGGCATATCGGTGGACAGCTGTTATAAATTTCATTGCATTTCTTGCATGCAAAAGGAGCTGAAATGGAATAAATGGTAAATGTTATCTGATTTCCGCTACTTTACAATATCATTTTCCGTTAAAAAAAAAATATATTAAATCCCTCGTTACTTACGACAATCTCTGATCGGTATACATTTGCCAGTCTTACGGTCTCGTTTGGAATTAAAGCCGCAAACGCATCTTCCTTTTCCACATTTCGTTGGAGTCGGACATGTCTGTGGTGAGTCTCTGTTCTTTGGACAATATTCCGCATCACACTGAATCGGTGGACAACTTGAATAAATCTCACCATTTGGGCATGTTGGAGTTTCTGAATGGATGTTATTATTTATAGAATAATCTGGTGGATGTGTAAGTTTTAAGTTATATAGAAAAATTTATCGAATATAATTTTATTTATACTTACCACATTCATTACTCGGAACACAAACTTCTTGAGAATTTCTGAAGTAACCTGGCTTACAGCGGCAAGCTGGTTTACAGTTGGGCCCTGTCTTATTCGCTGGTATCATTGGGCAATGGTATATCTTATTCCTGGTTGCACAAGTCTGGGGAGAGCAGCCAGGACATTTGTCGTATACTTCATTGGGTTTGGTGCATATCGCTAGACAAAAAAATGCTGAGATGATCCTTTGATCCATATTTGAAGTTAAAATGCCAGTCATGTGAGAGCTTTTAATATAGTAGTTATGTATGAAGAAACCTTACAAATATTGTATGTAGCTGTCAGTATTTTTCCGAAAACTATTATAAGTCTAAGTAATAAGTCTTATTCACTTTTATCTCTACTAACGCTACATGCAAGTTACGTGTAGTAAGATCTTAGTTATTTCGAATTGTGTTTCGCGTTTATACTACACTGATACACAGAGAGGTTTTTATAATTAGTATGAAATCCAAATGAGCTTCACCGGGGCGAAATCGCCAAAATAGCCAATGAGACAGATATAGAGATCGCATATTGCGTTCGAAATAGAACTCATATAGCTGAAGTTTAGCTATAATTATGTGAAGTTATTATGAATATTGTTAATTTTCATGCAGTTTAAATCTACTTTTAAAAAAATACTTATTAAAAACCTTATTATAAGGTATCCGATTATATAACAGATAAGAACGCTTGGACTTGAGATGATCCAGCAACTGGATAGGTGGTTACTTCTTAACTCATTATCTTGTTTCCATTATTATTAAATGATTATGTTATCATTATAAGACGATTTTTTTTTCTCTCTCTCTCTGTTTTAATGTATTGATCTGGTAATGACATGGTTTTTGTAAATGTCATTACTCTTATTAGAGCTGGTGAGTTTCTTGCTCGTTCTTCCTATCAGCCAAAAGATGTCCAGAACGAGCGGTAGGGAAAAAATGTTGGACGATTCAAAAGTACTTTTAAGAAGTCTATTTGAATAAAGATTATTTTGACTTTGACTTTAACAGGTGCATCTGTTTGTTTTTGCATTGAATATAACATTTTAATTTTTTTACATCAAAATTCACACATTTTTTTGGATTATTTTGCATTCTTAATCAATTTACATTTAATAATAGAGGCTTCTACTAGATGCTAATTTAAATGTGAATTGCTTTTTTATTGAGTAACAAAAATACGTGGATGAATATTAGTCGTTAGTGACCAAATAATTAAGATTTATATCATGATTTAGCTATATCTTAAAATTTAACGATATTATTTTTTCATATAATTTTTTCATTAAAGAATGATTCCTCTTACAGATGAGACAAATTAGTAATTTTAAACAATCGATTTCAATTATTATCGATGGTTATTTATTTCAACATTTATATAAATGGTATGCTTTAAAAAAATATGTTCTTTATATTTTTTATCGTATTTATTTTATCGATGGAATTTTATTATAAAAAGAGTGACGATTATATTGTTTACCTAGTTGAATTATTCCCTAATAGCGGATTTGATATTTGTTTTCGGCAAAGTACAAACTGCATGTGTGGATACCATAATATTACAAATTACCGCAATTAATTATGAAATCTACGTTTAATGTATTAACGTTTAAATTGAGTGTGGAATTTTGCGAGATTTTTATAACTACTACACACGCCGCAGTCATTTTATAGTTATAATCATATCACTTACAGGGGCACTCATTTGGCTTGACACATTTTTTCTTATCAGCGTCGTAATAAAAACCATCTTTACAATCACATGCGTTCAATCTACAAATACGAGGACAAATAGGGTTTCGTCTTATTAAATCGGAACACTTCTTTCCGCAATTGACGCCACATCCACTTATTGCATTTTTATCACCGCCACAAGATGCTGGGAAAATAAAGCAAGTTGCACTTTTATTTTCTAAACTAGTTCGTAGTTGGTTCTCTACATTTTTTTTTATAATATAAATTACTGTACAGGTTTACAAAAAGGTGTCTAGTTTGTGATCTTCAAATTTGTGTTATATATCCTGGAGCGTTATCATCGAATATACATGTTTGAATTGTTTCTTTTTCTATAATAGTTACTTCATATTATGAAGTAATGAATAAATCTATTCATTTCTCAAAGAAGAATAGAGAATCGCTAAATTATAGCGGTACTCTGGGTGTCATCAACATCATCAGTTTATTAATTGCCCCATTGCTTATGGCCCAGCATAATCTATTAATATAATAGAATAGAATAGGAAAAATGACCCACCACGAGGGCCCAGTACGGATTGGTGGGTATTAAAGACCAGATGTAGCCGGGACCAACGGCTTAACGTGCCTTCCGAAGCACGATGTATCGGATAAAGGGTTGAGATCATAACCACACGTTGTAGGAGAATTAATAGTGTTGTTTTTATTGTTTATAATAGAATCTTCTTGTTTGAATGAATATTGTGAAGCAATAGAATTCTTGAAGAAAGAATAACACTTAAAAAATATAATTCATTCACCTAATTCCCTGGTAGTATGTGAGAATTCTGTTTTAATAGGGACTGTCCGCACCGCGATTTTTATTTGTGCGGAATGAAATAACACCTTGTCCGCATTGCGATTAAAAGTCCGCGTGATTTTTGTCAGTTTTATGTAGCTTCTGATCGAGACGAATGTCTAGAAAAACCGGTAAAGTGCGAATTGGACTGGCGCACGTAAGGTTACGTATCGGAAACGAACAAAAAACCAGGTTTGTTGTATGGGAGTCTCCTTAAATATTTATTTTATTCTGGGTTTTAGTATTTGTGAAAATTTCAACTGTCTAACTTACACGGTTCATGAAATAGAGATTTGTGACAGACAATCACCGAAGCCTTAGTAATAGGTTCCTGTTTTAACTTGTGTATACTGAACCCTAAAAATGAGCTACAGAACTATTTTAATTTCTCAAAATGTCTCTTTCAATTCAATGTATATTTCTTCCCACAACCTAGTTTCCAATTGCCTATCATGGTAGTTTGCTTGAAATTTGTCTCATAGGTGAGACCTATTTTGAATTAGCGTCATAAACATTTAAATATCAATTGCGTCATTTTCGGCGGCCGCCGAGTAGATGGGAGATGGACCACGTAACATCTTTCCACCGCTAGTGCTGTTGCACGACTAAGCAATCGCGAAAATCTGTGGTTTAGTAAGCTCGATTGTTTTTCCGTGCGATTTTTTTCACAAGTGCGGATACTTCCATATAAATCAATGTGTTGCAAAATTGCAATAATAAATTAGCGCGAAATAAAATCGCAATGCGGGCAGTCCCTTATTACATTTTAATTTTTATTGAATTATTAAAATTACTCACGGCACTCTTTGGCGGGTACACATTTTCCATCTTTATTTCTTACTTTACCATTTTTACAAACGCACCCAGGCTTACAAATAACCGAAGAGCTATTTCCACAATTTGGCTTTGGATAACCAACTTCATTACATGTCAGAGGGCTACAAGATGCATTCGGACAGTCTAAATACTCTTCGTCGGCTGAGCAGACATTATCTGTAAATATCGACATAACTTTTGGACTTGGTTGCTTGCCGTCAAGACACTGCACCAACTCATATGTATACTAATGGTACTTCTTTAAGTCTGTTTTTATTACTGCGTCTACCTATGACTAGCATTCATCTAACCGTTTAGTGTAAGTGAAACTTGTATCATGATTGGATAACCAAAAAATATATTTAGTCCGTCAGTCAGGTAATAGAAAAGATACGTTATTCGTGTTGTCAGTTAAATAATAGAAGAATATTAGATACGTAATTCTTGCTTCAATTTAAACAAGAAATGGCTTAGATAATACCCATTAAAGGTGAGGAGTGGGGCTCGCTACGTCACAGTTTTGTGGAAAATGTACTAAAGCGCGACGTCATGCGACATTTCAACTCAACGCATCGCCGTAATTTGTTGATTACGCAAAAAAAAAAAAATATGTGTTTAATATTTTTCAATAATATACCTGACGGACAAACAAAAAAAAATGTCAACGTCCCTATAGTAGTTTTGTAATCGCATGCTTTTAAATATGGTTACAAAACTATTCATGTAGTTTATATATCTAGAAAACGAGATTGATATAGCAGTATGTTTTGACACGATTGCCTCAATAGAAAAGAGTTTTTTAAAGAAGAGTTTAGGATGTATATATGAATGAGTGTGAGTGTCTTTATTTCACCATTACTATTGAAAGATTTAACGTAAACAAACGTATAAATTAATTCGAAAAGTTTCATCATGTCGAGTGACACGGCATATAATATATATTTCTAAAGAGTCAATATGGTAGAAGTATGATGTCATTATAAAAATAAATGACATAACATGAGTATCAAATTAAAGGTATTGATTCCAAAAATATAATTTAGTAATTGAAAACAACGACTGCCAAAATTGTTGAAACAAGTTGTATTTACAATTAGAATTTGGTTTGACCGAATCTTAATACAGCTTATTTTATTTATATAGATCGATGTTTATTAATTTTTAAATTATTTATTTTCACTTTATTCCTTTTAGTGAGCAAATAAGTTTTGCTTTTCTAAAATAAGTTGTGATTTGAAAACTTTGTATGTATATGCTAAATGTACCAAGTTGATTCGGTGAGTGAGTGTATTGTAGGTATTATATCTTTTTCAGAAATACAGGTCCAAATGGAATTACTTTCAGAATAAATTTTGTAATATTGTATGTACTCTATCGCAAGGATTCTCATTAAGAGTGAATTTTATTTCTTAATACAAAATGCTTAAAAATCCACTTGGGCCCTGGCACCCTGAGATGGAACTCGAACCCACGACCTTTCGCAATCCGGGCGACTGCTCTAACCACTGAGCTACCCAGGACCTAACATGACTGACGAATCTTCCAAGCACTTTTTGTGTTTATTTTATTTCTGTTGACTCATTTCATTGGTCGATAAACTATGAGCCATGCTTCTAGCTTTATCTTAAAAGCTATAGGTAGGTATCAAATTTGGTCTTGAATGACTTCGAGAAAGGATGGTGTAAAAATGCAGTAATTAGTATTGTTTGACTTGGCGAGATATAACCGTGTTCAGTTAATTATATTTTACATAATTATTAGGTGTGATTTAGGGTATATGCGCGGGATATGTGTTTTGTTTTTATACAAAAATTGTCTTTTAGTGCTACGTAACTCAAAATACTAACTTTAATCCTATATTATTAGAATAGTATTATTTGAATATATATTTTTGTATTACTAAAATATATATTTATTTAAGCTGTTTGGGTGGATTGCCTGAACCTTGATGGAAATAGGCTCACTAATAGCGAAAAAAGTAACAAGTACTTGAAAAATTCGGCTTTCCTGTTAGGTCCTGGGTAGCTCATATATCTACCTTTTTGAGTATGTTTTATATATATAGCTAATGTCAGTCCCGATTTTGTAATATTTCTAATGATACTTGTATGTCCGCTAAGTCTTTCAAAAGTTACGGCAGAACTAAGAAACTCACATACTTACTTTAACCCTAAATACATACTTTTTGTTTGAGCAGTCGTGAAAAAATACCGTTAACTACAGTACAAAATGGTCACATAGGTGAAGTTTTTCAACACTTTACATGATTTTATCTTTATTATATAAGTATTTTAAAATTTCAAAGCACTTCAAACATTTTAATCCTAATTTAGTATTGGTGAGTCAATAATCCTTTAACCCTGCTAATGTCATAATTGATGCGACAAGTGATTAATTTGTCTGAATATCTTATATTAAAATTAATATCATTCAAATATAGTGTAAAAACTTATCTTTTTACTTTTTTATTGTTTTAAAATTATTATGAAATATTGAAAATCCTGGTTTAACTTATAGGTGTATAAAAAAAAAATAAAAAAAACAAAAAATTATATCAAAAGCAATTTAATTGCAAGTTACAAAAAAAAAAAAACGATAGTATCAGTTCAAACTAGATGGAAAAATGAATAAATTTGTTAACCTATTATTTATTATAAATCAGTTTAATTATTTCAGTAATAATTGACTTAAGTATACTTTAGTATATTTAAATTTATATAACGGGGCAATTGAAATAAATTAATAACAAAGCACTTATTTTCTCGTGTAATGTGTTAATTTATAATGTTAAAGTCGGCTCAAATCTGACGAAAGACCCGTCAAGTGCCTCACAGAAGTATTCTTCAGTCGACATGTAAGATTGAATGTATATCACATTACATACATATTTGTCAGTTATAACGTTCCACGGTCGAAAAGACACGACACATCTTGCATCAGCAGGCCGATTCTGCTTTACGTAATAATTGCATCTCAATAGAATATCAGCGACTTGCATTAAGTCCAATATTATTAGCGCAATACCTTCCTCACACATCAAAGGTGATCGAAACAATACTATTGAAATTCAAGTAGATACTACAATGGAAAAATAGAAGTAGTTAAGATTATATTGACGAATTACGTAAACATTCTCAGAATTGCCTTGCAGACATGTGACACGGCGACCTTTTATTAATATTATATACATTTATTGTTTACCTTTACATTTTTCACCACTGACACAATTTCCTTTAGAATCTCTGTAATAGCCTTGCTTACATCTACATGCTGGCTTACAAGGAACAACGATGCCTATGCGGTATTTAGGACACTTAGTCTTGTTCAAATAATCAGTACAATTTTGTCCTGGACACACAGGAGGGCAGCTGTCATAAACTTCATTGCATTTGTTGCATTTAAATGGTGCTAAAAAGAATAATTAGAATAATTTATATAAAAAGACATTAAGACAAAAACTTTTATTCAATCATAACCGTTTATTTGCGTTTTTTGGTGGAAGTCAACTAGGGTGTACTTTTTAAAATTCACTTTTAAGATTTTCAAAAGATAGAAATTAATTGTGGACTGTGGTGTAATTTCAAAATTCAGTTACAAGAATTTCAAGTGACTTGTATATGAGTTCCATAATTACTATTGACTTTCCATAATTACACTAACAGTAGCATAATTGCCCTATATTAAAAACACTATTTCATTAGAATGACTTCAGGACTGTCTCTATTTACACGTGGCCAATACTGGACTAGCTTACTGGATCTCTCGATACTGCTGCATCGATCGAGTTAAAACTATTTTAAACTAACGCGCTCTGGACATATTCTTTATGATAAATACAATACAAACTACACATGTAAGATTTACGAATGTTAATTAATGTATTTTATTTGATGTTGAATACTTACGACAATCTCTGATCGGTATACATTTGCCGGTCTTTCGGTCTCGTTTTGAATTAAAGCCGCAAACGCATCTTCCTTTCCCACATTTCTTCGGCGTCGGACAAGTTTGTGGCGAATTAGCGTCCTTTGGACAATATTCTGCATCACATTTGACTGGTGGACAGCTATCGTAAATCTCTCCGGTTGGACAGGTTGGTTCTAAAATAATATTAATATTGTAATATAAGATATATTATGACAATCAGATCAGATAATATATTACGAGATGTACCTGAAATAAAAACTTTGGACCACAATTGCACGAATAGAGAAGTATTTTACACAGATAAAGTTTATGTGGTGAAGAAGTGCAGAATACTAATATTTTTATTACAAAATTCAAATTAACAAAAAAACATTACATATATTACTTATTATGTATACTGTGACATTTACTTTTCTACATTATTTAGAATATCAATGGATATTAAAGACGATTTAGTTTGAGACTTTGCTTATCCAATTTTAATGTCAATTTCATTGAAAATCAGTGGTTCGCTTAGAGTAAGCATTTTGAGTGAGTGTTGCAGAGCTTTTGGCGTTTCTTACGTGTATTTTTTTTGTCATACATGTAATTTGTTCAATGAATATTAAAGACGATTTAGTTTGAGACTTTGCTTATCTAAAATCAGTGGTTCGCTTACAGTAAACATTTTGAGTGTAAACAAGTTGTATATATTTTTTTTCCCTGAAATTTGTATCAACAATATATAAAAGTATATAAATATTTATATATATATTATGTTTATATTTATTTATATTTAACTTACCACATTCTTTTACTGGTACACAAACTCCCTTTGAATTTCTCAAATAACCTTGTTTACAGCGGCAAGCTGGCTTACAGTTGGCTCCAGTTTTGCTGGCTGGTATCATCGGACAGTTAAATTTCTGGTTTTTCGTTGCACATGTTTGGGGCGAGCAGTCGGGGCATTTGTCGTACACTTCGTTAGGATTAGTGCACATGGCTTGAAAAATAAAACTATTTTGAGTAAGCTCGTATGTGTTACACGACAAAAATTGTCATCAGTGCACAAAATTATATATTGTTTTCATTGCGGTAAATAATATTATCATATTTTCTCTGTTTTACATTCTTTCATTTTAGCCTGCTATCATTGGAGATAAAATATAAAAGACGTCTATAAATACGCACGTACTACGGAGAATGATGACTTATTTTTGTCAATATACCTACAGTTTGTTTAATGTTTTGAATGTAAACATGTTAATTATATTTAAGTATAGTATAGTTAAGTAAAACTACGACTAAAGTTAGTACTTGGTTTAAACCTTTTTCGATCAAATTGATAAAGACAAGTAGATATAACATCAAGTAGAGACGTGTTGATTTAAGCTATTTAATTACATTTTCACGTTTATTTTTTGTAATAATCAAATTAAAGTAAAGGTATATCGACAGAACTCGGTCATCAACTTCCAAATACAGAAGGATTTATCATACGTAGCAACATTGTCATTGAAAGAAATGATTACTAATTATTTCAATACAAAAATTATTATGGTTCCTCACTATGAATATGCTCACCATTAGATTGATTTATGATTGTACTTTAAATATTGCTCAATATTGAAATTGAGAAAAGTAGCTCGGTGGCGTAGTTGATAAGCGCCGCGGCCCGCGATCGTAGTCGTTAAGCAACTTTCGCAAGGGTCGGTCACGGGATGGGTGACCAAAAAATTATTATCTCGAGCTACTCCGTGCTTCGGAAGGCACGTTAAACCGTTGGTCCCGGCTGCATTTGCAGTCGTCAATACCCTCCAATCCGCATTGGGCCAGCGTGGAGGGTCATGGCCCATCCTCCTTAACCATCCATAAGGAAGGCCTGAGCCCCTGCAGTGGGGACGTAAAAGGGCTGGTGGTGGTGGTGGTGTCAATACTAGATTGATTTTGTTTGCAGTATCTTGTTATCAATTTTAACAATTTGAAAAAAATAGTTACTCTTGCAACGATAATAACAATGACCACTTACAAGTACACTGCTCCGCCTTGACACATTTCTTTGTATTGCTGTCGTAATAAAATCCATCTTTGCAGTCACATCCATTTAAAATACACATAAGAGCACAAACGCGTCTCGGGTTAACTAAATCAGTACATTTCTTTCCGCAATTACCCCCACAGCCTGATCGTGCATTTGGATCTCCACCACAAGATGCTAAAATTATAACAATAATAAGTTACAGTGTTCTGGGGGCGAACGCTTTACTATCTATCTATAGAATACAATATTTTTAGGATTATGGTGGAGTTTTGTTTAAGTTTATCGCTTTGACATTTGGCGTTTATCTTTTGGTGGATAAATAAGTTAATAACGCCGATGTCAATAATTAGAATTTGTCATCGTTGATAGTTATTAATAAATATGTTAAAGTAGTAAAATGAAATAAAATTTGGTTAAATGTTTAACGTTGTTTCTTACTGAATAAAATAACTTACGGCATTGACTTGGAGCTACACATTTTCCGTCTTTATTTCTTACTTTGCCGTCCTTACATATACACCCACGCTTGCATTGATCTTTCTTTCCACAATTGGGTTTCGGGTGGCCTACTTCATCACACGTGAGTGGATAACAAGACCCGTTCGGACATTCAGATAATTCTTCGTCGGCTGGGCAAACAGCTGTAAATATTTAAAACATGCATAATTTGCTTTGATATTATAGCTAAAAAATAATAGATTTTCGAACGAACTTGGAAAGTAGTATTAGCACAACCTATTTAAATATTAAATCGGTAGCAACTAAACTTGCTGATAAGCGAGATTTTTGAGACGGCAAACAACCATAACTAAACTAAATTTACGTGAAAATACAGATAAATGGATTCTATCAATCTATTTTATTTAACAATTAAATTACTCTACGAGGTATTAGAGATATACTGGAAATAGCAGAAATTGCAAAAAAAAAATCATGCATTTTGTATGGGACACTAGATATAAACTCAAAATACTCTTTATCATCAAATGCTTCTGCCATAACTTTTTGAACTACCCTCGTAATTGGAGCACATTTGTAATATACTATGAAACCTTACTACCGCCCAGACAAATATACGAAAACGTATGCTTAACGGCCCAGTGGCCTTATAAAAGAACATAATAGCTATCGTTTAATATTTTAAAATGTTGCAGCGGATGGCCTTGTTTTTCTAGTGGTTTCTGATTGGAGGACATATGAGTGACATATGTTATGATTGTGTATATGAATGTCAATGCTTGAAATAAATTACTTATTATTATAAATCATACGATACTAAGCCTATCGAATCCGAAAGTACTTGTTTTCAGGCAAGATAGAGTGCAGGTGGGTTAAAAATAGGTTTATATTTCTATTTACGAATGCGATCAAGTAGCCAATAAATATTGAATTCAGTAAATTTATAAATGGGCAGTTGAAGTTACTGTAAGTGTATACATTTTTGTAAAATACCTTTGACAAAGGGATTTTCACTCTTAAGAAACATATACTAATGTGAGAACAGTGAGGTTATGTTCCAATTATGAGTGTATGGACCTTACATAAGACTTAGTTCGTGTATAAAAGTTGCAGTTTGATGATATTGGTAACTTTTTGTTTCATTCTGATTTAGAATAAAGACCTGGACTATCTCCTTTCTGTGGGTTGACCGGAAAATATTTCGTCTAGCTCAAGTACGGAAAGTACTGATTGTGAAGAAGATGAAGTTATGACTGTGACAAACCGAGGCAGTCGTTGGAAGTCAAAGTGGCCGTGACGGTCGAGGTGAAGAGGTGTTATTAATTATGTTAGAAGCAATCACTTCATTTTTTAATTCTTAAGAAGTTGTTAAGGGGTGTATTTTCGTTACTTTTTGACATAAGAATATTATTTTTTATTTATATTGATAATTAAAACAATATTAAGACTGAGCTCCAACCGATAATGAGAATCAATAGAGTTCTGTATGAAATCTTAACTTTCTATTCATTCTCATTTTTTCTCTGTTTTACATTCTTTCATTTTAGCCTTCTAACATTGGAAATAAAATAGAAAAGACATCTATAAATATGCACGTACTACGGATAATGATAACTGACTTTTGTAAATACACCTGTAGAAGTAGGTGTCAAACTGTAGTTTGTTTAGTGCTTTTGATGTAAATATGATAATGATAATAAATATTTAAACGATCAAGTTTTATTTTTGAGTATATTGTTAAAAAAAAAACTTTTAGTAAAAATACGATTAAAATTAGTACTTGGTTTAAACCTTTTTCGATCAAATTGCTAAAGACAGTATAGAAAACGTCAAGTTGAGACGTGTTGACTTATTTAATATTTAATAATATTTTCATGTTTATTTTTTTAATTATCAAATTATAGTATAAGTGTATTGATAAAACTCGGTCATCAACTTCCGAATTCAGTAGGATATCATACGTAGCAACATTGTCATTGAAAGAAATTAGTACTAATTATTTCAACACAAAAATTATTAAGGTTCCTTACTATTAATATGCTCACCATTAGATTGATTTATGATTGTACTTTAAATATTGTTCAATATTGAAATTCAGAAAAATTGTATCAATACTAGATTGATTTTGTTTGCAATATCTTGTTATTAATTTTAACAATTTGAAAAAAAAAGTTAGTATTGTAACGATAATAACAATGACCACTTACAAGTACACTGCTCCGCCTTGACACATTTCTTTGTATTGCTGTCGTAATAAAAGCCATCTTTACAGTCACATCCATTTAAAATACACATAAGAGGACAAATGTGCCTCGGGTTAACTAAATCGGTACATTTCTTCCCGCAATTACCCCCACAGCCTGATCGTGCATTTGGATCTCCACCACAAGATGCTAAAATAATAATAATAATAAGTTACAGTGTTCTGGGGGCGAACGATTTACTATCTATCTATAGAATACAATATTTTTAAGATAATGGTGGAGTTTTGTTTAAGATTATCGCTTTGACATTTGACATTTATCTTTTGGTGGATAAATTTGAGATAAAAAATACGTTAATAACGCTGATGTCAAATCCATGATTACCATTTTGTCATCGTTTTTACTTATCAAAAAAATGTTAAAGTAGTAAAATGAAATAAAATTTGGTTAAATGTTTTACGTTGTTTCTTACTGAATAAAATAACTTACGGCATTGTTTTGGAGCTACACATTTTCCGTCTTTATTTCTTACTTTGCCGTCCTTACATATACACCCGCGCTTGCATTGATCTTTCTTTCCACAATTGGGTTTCCGGTGGCCTACTTCATCACACGTGAGTGGATAACAAGACCCGTTCGGACATTCAGATAATTCTTCGTCGGCTGGGCAAACAGCTGTAAATATTATAAAACATGCATAATTTGCTTTGATATTATAGCTAAACAATAATAGATTTTCGAAACGATCTTGGAAAGTAGTATTAGCACAACCTATTTAAATATTCAATCGGTAGCAACTAAACTCGCTGATAAGCGAGATTTTTGAGACGGCACAAGGGCAAACAACCTTAACTATATTTACGTGAAAATATTTCTAGGAAACCATCTGTTAATTTAAGTTTACTTTAAGATTCTATCAATATATTTCATTTAAGAATTAAATTTCTTTACGAGGTATTAAAGATATACTGGAAAGAGCAGAAATCATGCATTTTGTATGGGAAACTAGATATAAACTCAAAATATTCTTTATCATCAAATGCTTCTGCCATAACTTCTTGAACAACCCTCGTAATTGGAGCACATTTGTAATATACTATGAGACCTTACTACCGCCCAGACAAATATGAGAATACGTTTTCCTAACGGCTCAGTGGCCTTATAAAAGGACATAATAGCGATAGTTTAATGTTTTTAAATTTTGCCGCGGGTGACCTTGTTTTTGTAATGGTTTGTGATTGGAGGACATGTGAGTGACATAAATCATACGATACTAAGCCGATTGAATGCGAAAATACTTGGTTTCAGGCAAGATGGAGTGCAGGTGTGGTAAAAGTAGGTTTATATCTCTATTTACGAATGCAATCAAGTAGCCAATTAATATTCAGCAAATTTATAAATGAGGGAATTAAAGTTAATGATAGTGTTAACATTTTTGTAAAATACTTCTGACAAGGGTTTTTTTCATTCTTAAATAATATGTAATAATGTAAGAATAGTGAGGTTATGTTCCAATAATGAATGTATGGATCTTACTTAAGACATAGTTTGTTATTTAAAGGTTGCAATTTGACGATTTTGGTGATTTTCTGTTTGATTCTTACTAAGAATGAAAATCAGGAGGATCCCCTTTTTGTGAGTTCACCGGAAAATATTTTGTCTTCGTCAGTCGTGGAAGTCAAAGTAGCCGTGGTGGTCGAGATGACGAGGTGTTATTAATTATCTACGAAGCGATTCCTTAAATTTTTTATTCTTAAGAAGTTGTTATAGTCTCATTAGCTATACTCATCAAAAAGATGTATTATTCGTTACTTTTTGACATAAGAATATTATTTTTTAATTATATTGGTAATCAAAGCAATCATAAGACTGAGCTCCAAGCAATAATGAGAATCAATATAGTTCTGTATCAAATCTTAACTTTCTATTTATTAATGGAAGTTCTCGAATTTTCTGGATTTTAGCGAATATATTACTATAGTTTTTAGTTTTTGGTAAAAAAATCAAAATCTGTCAATTTATTTTCTGAAAGAAAACAGTACTAACTAAGGCCTATGACTGTTTGTTGTACGCAATAATGATTTGAGTTTTGCAGTTCTAATGTTCAATTGAAATATTAAGGGTAAAGATAAAACCAACAAAAGATTATCACTTACAGGTACACTTCTCCGGCTTGACACATTGCTTTATATTGGTGTCGTAGTAAAATCCTCGCTTACAATCACATAAATTCATTCCACACATAAGAGGGCAAGCAATAGGAGATGAATTCAATAAATCAGAACACTTCCCTCCACAAAAATTACCACAGCCAGATTGCGCATTTGAATCACCTCCACAAGATGCTAAAATTAAATCAATATATAAGTGGCAATCGCTAGTTTTTTTTTAATTATTAATTTTATTATTATTAAATTAATAAATTTACTTACGGCATTCACTTGGCTCTACACATTTCCCGTCTTTATTTTTTACTTTACCATTCTTACATATACAGTCACCTTTACAAGGAACAGTTTTCCCACAATTGGGCTTTGTATAACCTACTTCGTCGCACGTCAGAGCACTACAAAATCTATTCGGACATTCAGAATATTCTTCGTCGGCTGAACAATCAGCTGAAAATATGAATAAAAATTATAAATATTGGCCAACATTGCTGAAATACCTCAGATTCCAGATAAGCAGCTAAAGCACTCGTTTTATGGAGTATCTGAAACTACGAATGTACCTTAACATCCAAACCAAAGAAAATAAAACCTACCGGGAATCCAACTCAGGACCTCAGAGATGGCGACACCTTGACTAGTGTTTAAGCCACTCGGCCAAGGAAGTTGGAAGATAATAAAACCTTACCTTATTGCTTGATTTATAGATAATAATTAATGACATAGATATTATTAAAAGCCAACTTCAATGACATAGACATTATTAATAACCATCTTCCTAGAGTTTTTAATACATGGATATTTTTGCTTATAATATAGAACAAGAAGTTTTTGTACATCGCTTTTAAAATAAACTATCCTAAATCTTCACGGGCTAATGTGTGCCGGTTCTTACATACGACTTTCACATTTTTAAGGTTCCTGGCATTAGTTTTCAATTGAACGACGTCGTGAACGATGTAATTGTTTGCGATCGAGATCTCCTTTGATCGTTCTTTTTCCATGTTGAGTATCTCTGTGACCTTGCCATTATACATGTTGACTGTCTGTAGGAACTCTACAAAACTTCTGAGATAGTGTGATTTTCATCTAAACTGTACTAAATAAAAATGAATCTAGCATATGCACTAACCATTTTTATTACCTTTTGGACACTTTCAGTCATTATATCATGTTTAATAGTGCTAGTTTTTTCTCGCATAATAAGGGTTGTCAATATCTGTTACTTAATGTGGAAATAGTGATATAAAGTTTGAAACCGATTTGAAGTTCCAAAATTACTTTCATACAATATAGTAATAATAAAGCAGTTAGTAATTTCACAAATATCACTCACAGGTGCACTTCTCTACCTCGAAGCATTAATTTTAGAAGAAGATTAATTAAAGATTCATATTCGAATCTTTTCATCAATACCTACCATTGCCACACTGCTCTTCAGGTACACAAACTCCATAGAGCCTCAAGTATTTTTCAGGACAAACGCAACCCGGTATACAGGATCCCGGTGCCATGGGTGGACAAGGTCGGGATTTTCCCTTGTCCTTGCAGTCTTGTACACGACAGAGGCCATTCGAACAGTCAGAATATACTTCGACCCCTGTGCATTTGGGTGCTAAAAAAAGATTAACACAACTGTGTGAGTAACACGTTCTCTCAATTTAGATTATTGGATCTATCAAATATTTAATTGGATATTGATGAAAAGTTACAAAATGTAATTCGTGTTATACAACATTTTAAATAGGTTCAAAAAAATAAATGTCCAATTTGAAGATTTTAGATCAATACTAACGATCACACTGGTCTTCTGGTACACAAACTCCGTTTTTCCTCAGATATTTTTCAGGACAGACGCAACCTGGTATACATGATCCTGGTGCCATAGGTGGACAAAATCTGGTTTTTCCCTTATCCTCGCAGTTTTGTACACGACAAAGACCATTCGAACAGGAAGAGTATACTTCATATCCCTTACATTGTGGTGCTGAAATACAACAATCAATATAGTCTTGTAATAAATAAAGTTAAGAAGTAATCTATGTCAATGAAATTTTCATTTTTTTTTCTATAAATGATTGATGACTTTATTACTATTTGTCATTACCTAAATCTTCGCCTAAATATTTAGGCATCGCCTAAGGTGATGCATGCATTTCACGAATGATTGGGAAACCACTAATTAATATTAAACAATATCTGAAGTTATATCATGCGTAATGCTGTGCCTTGCGCTGGGCATTTGAGTTATATTAGTTTATGTGTATCTGTGGTAATAAGAAAGATTACAAATGTATTATAAGGTTAAGGAGGTAAAGAAAAAATTTAAATATGTAATTAAACTAACATATTTAAACGATTTGTAAGATTAGGCGTTTATAAGGCATAGCCTTTATCTCGGTCAGTGAAAATGGGTGTTAGTCACACAGAAAAAAAAACACTTACTAATATTGCACTCCTCTTTTTTGACGCATTTTCTTTTGTTGCTATCATAATAAAAGCCTTCCTTACAATCGCATCCGTTTAATATACAACCCAAAAGACAAACGGAATTTGGATTAACTAAATCGGAACATTTCTTGCCACAGTTGGTGCCACAACCGTTAACAGCATTTTCGTCGCCTCCGCAAGATGCTAGATAATAAGAGAAAATTAGGTGTCAATTTTAGTAAGTAGGATTACGAATGAATGCATATTCTATTACCCGCTAAACTTGGCCAAACAACAAACTCACTTGGCCTACATAGTGGGTTGATGATTAATTCTAACTCATGAGCTGTTCCAAAAGCTTATTGTCTAAACCGGTTATGGAAAAGGTTTTAATGAAAATGGAAAATCGTATGAACGTGATTACGAGAGACATAAAATGAATAGTAGTCCATTTTGTCCCCCAACTTAACCTTAATCAGACCAACTGTACTTTACGTGGTGGCCGCTAGAAACTGACATTAATCGTGTGAAGATAAAATACATCTATATCTATCAATATGTACAGGAGGCGAGCCAGGTAAGATAAGGGTGAATTAGATTTACTCACGGCATTGGTCCGATGGTATGCATTTTCCATCTTTGTTCCTGAGATTGCCACTCTTGCAAATGCACCCGGGCTGACACGAAGTTGACGAGTTCCCGCAGTTGGGCTTCGGGAAGCCGGCTTCGGCACATGTCAGAGGACCACAGTATGTATTCGGACAGTCAGAATATTCTTCGTCAGCTGGGCAGGAGGTACCTGACAATTATAAAACATGTAATTTTTTTACGTATTCAAAGAACAGCTTTAAGTAAGTAAATCGGAGAGTTATTATTTATATACAGGAAAGAATTGTAGACAGTGAGAAAAATCTAATACCGTCTTTATCATAGTAAACTATATTGTCAAAGAATCTAATCTTTATACTAAATAATGAGATAATTTTGGGAAACAACCATTGTATTATAATTTTGAAAAACCTTACTTTGGCAATAATCGTCGTCGTAATATTCTTCTGAACCTGAAACAAATGACAATTTGACTGACACATATATAATAGTCACACGTAGACATAATAAAACTTCTCCATTTGTTAAATGAATATCAGTCAGGAAATAAATATTGAACAACAGCACATACATTTTTTATATAACGAATTAATTAAGTATCTGAATCCTTTTTATTATAATCTGAATCACTAACCTTAATTTGGTTACTCTCAAATACATAAATGTTATTATTACTATTAAAAATATTATAAATTAATAACATAGAGCTCTGTTCAGCCATTATTATTTGGACTAATATGATATATTGGTAAAAAAAGGTTAACGATGTTAATAAATTAATCAGTTATGTATGCAGACCTTTAATAAGTTATCGAACAATAAGACAACCTGTACATACAAAAAACAAAAAAGTATGAATGTGAACATTGAATACTATGAATTGAACATGTTTTCTTTTGCGCTATAAATTAAAATTAATGTTTAATCAATAAATCATAACCATATCAAAATAATGGAAAATTTTGCGCGTTAATAAATCTATTATGGCGCAACATTATTTTAATGAATTATTTTATTTAATTAAAATGAAATTGAATATTATAAATATAATAAATCTATCATGAGGTGGATTTTTGCCAGAAGACAAAAATAAATAAGGCACCTAAATACTAATATAAAAATCCGATATATAAGATAATATAAAATAATATACATATTAGGAGTTTTCAAGGCAGAGATAGAAAGTGAGTCTTCACTTGACCAACAGAAAAATGTGCGAGCTTTCCGTATGGCTTCAGGTAACAAATTCCACAGACGCACAACGTTTATAGAAAATGAGTAGAACAGGAAGTCGGTAGCATGTCCATAGGTTAAATTTAAAGAAAAGTTATTTGAAAAACTTAAAGAAATTTACCACAGATCAATCAAAATTGTAACAGTTACAGAGGAATTTGGTAATAAGGCTTTATAATATTTGACAATACATAATAGCTATTGTTGTCAGGGCATAAGGTGTGTCAGGGATAAAATGGAGTGGTTCATTCGGAAGATCGATCAGTTGCATCGAGTATTGCAGATCCTCATCCTTAAGTCTTAAATGTTCCTTAGTAATCCTGAATCTTGCCCCTAAGAGAACATGGCAAAATGGGAACAAACGGCGCGGGAAGAAGAGCTTTGAACAGTTTCCTTGCATCGTCTTCTATATAGAGGTACGTCGTTGGGTTTAGGTAGAGGAGAGCGCCACTTTGGGTAATAGAGAGCATTGCATAACCTCGCTGACCCACGTCGGGAAGGTGGGTTATGCATGAATGCATTTCATTTGTTAAAAAGATATCGTGTTAGAGAAAACATATAAATATAGAAATCAGAGTTTAAATACAAGCACTATGCAGTGACGCCTTAACTGCATGGATAATAATATGAAATGTTATAAATAATAGTAGTTTGTAAGGTAGCCTCGGAACAAAAGTAAATTTATACAGATAAAAATATGAAACTGTACAATATAAGTATTATACTTGTGAGAATAAGTCTTGGATGATAATGGACGACATAATACTTAGATTGATTACGATTTATGGAAGGATGATATCACAAATAAAAAAAACAGTATGTGTTAAAATTAATGCATACGGATAATATTAAAAAATGAGACTTAGGATATTCGTTTTAGTATTATTATTGTTGTCGCCGAGGTACCAGCAAGGAAGCTGGTATGAAGATATAGATATAAAAAAAATAAAGACTTACTGTAATCGTATGCACTGTCATTGTTCTCATTGCTTGAACCTGCAAAAGGTAAAAGTGTTATCAAAAGATTTTTTTTAACCTTTTGGGTATGCTGTCTCTGAAATTGGCTATTGTAAGATGTAATAAAAGTATCTCAATAAAAAAGGTGACCGTTTAAAAATTTAAATCATATACGGAGAGCACAGTTTGATGTTAGGCAAATATTGATTACTGAGTTTCTTGTTAGTTCTTCTCAGAACAAGGATATTGTTGATTTACGAACCAATGGCATAGTATTTCGATATTCACAAATGGTTGTTGAAGCCTAGACTGAAAAAATCATTTTTAGTTTGTTTTGAGTTTGACCAATACTGTGTATTTCGCTTTAAACTAAAATGAAAAAGTCATTTTAAAGAATTGCAATTATTATAAAGTTTTTTTGAAATATTTAAATAATAAAAAAATATATTTACATAATTTAGAATAAATTTACTTGAAGCACACTGGAGAACGATTTATAAATTGTCAATCAATACATACTTACTCTTAGAAATTAAAATCATTAAAAAACCTTCTTGAAGTAATTTGCATATTTTAATAGCTACTTATATACCGTCATTTAAACTTCTTAAAGTCTAGAAGAATATATTAGAGTCTTGTATTAGCAATGAATGTATTTCACAAAACCATTGACGAGATTTCGAAAATTAATATTCTTTATTGATACCGGCTATGTATGCAAAATGATTCTAGATCAAAATTGAGCCTGTTTATTTCTTGTTAATATTCAATTCTATAAAATTTAAATGGTACTTCACTAATTACATATAAATATCTTGGAGTTTTTCATACTTGTAGATATTAATATGTAACCATTTTGGAAATAATGTTGAATTATATTTTAGTGTTTATCAGTAAATTTTGTGTATCCGTTTTATATGTATTTTTAATGAACAGTTTAAATGAGCCTAAACAAAAAACATCAATTACACACACGCAATTAACAATACTGTTTCGAATAGAATGATTTATACTTTTGGCGCGTATAAATAATATTCCTTATTTATATGTATCTATCGTAGTATAAATTGTCAATGATGGGATACCTGCAAGACATACTCCCAGGAACAGACTGGTCACTCCTAACATGAACACGAACCTTCCCATCTTAACATCAACGCAGACAGACATGTAAGTTTTGCTTACCTCTTATATAGTACTTTAGGCTGTGTTGTTATAGGTAAATAATTGATGATAATAAAATATTGTTCTTTGTCTCTGCACCTGTATTGACTGTACTTTAATAATATAATAAATAATCATACGTCAATATGGTCTAGCATCAGCAAGAAGAAATTCTTTTGTAATAATATTTAATCTATTCTATCGATTAGCATTAAAATTAATATAGAATTCCAGCAGCTACCATTATAAGTGCGTAGACAACTTTTTTTATATATATTTTTATTTTATTTTATAGAATAGAATATGGCGTAAATGAGACAACGAAGGCCACAACACCCAGACTCGAGACATATAGAAAAGTTGATTTTCTACATTGATTCGACCGGGAATCGAACCCGGGACTCCTTTATTTATTAGCTTACGACATTTGTATTGAATTACAAATGTCGTAAGCTAATAAATAAAGGAGTATCATTGAACAATGATGTATCATTGCATCGTTAAGCTACTATACGAGATTGTAATCTCGTATAGTAGCTCGGTGGCGTAGTGGATAAGCGCCGTGGCCCGCGATCGTTGTCGTTAAGCAACTTTCGCAAGGGTCGGTCACGGGATGGGTGACCAAAAATAATTATCTCGAGCTACTCCGTGCTTCGGAAGGCACGTTAGGCCATTGGTCCCGGCTGTATTTGCAGTAGTTAATACCCTCCAATCCGCATTGGGCCAGCGTGGAGGGTCATGGCCCATCCTCCTTAGCCACTCATAAGGAAGGCCTGAGCCCCTGCAGTGGGGACGTAAATGATGATCGGCTCAACCTCTTAACTTGATATTTAGCGTCTGGTTGTTTCTGGTTGTTGGTTGGAAATTAACAAAAATTGTACCACTGTATATAAATCTAGAGACAAAATGGATGTGAAAAACTACAGACTAATTAGTATCTTATCTTGCTTTGCATAAAAATTTCTGAGTAGTATATAAGCATGTTATTTTTTTTAACATATCATTTGCGACCGTCAGCATGGATTTGATAAAGGTGAATCCACTGCATCGAATCTTCTAACATTTGTTCATCATATCAATAAGGGATAAAGAAAGCATATGACAAGGTAGATCATTTTATTTTATATCGCAAAGCGTATCACCAGGGAATTCACGGATCACTCCTGGGATGGTTGGAATCGTACGTCACTAATCGTACCCAGTTGGTATCATTATATGAATTTTACTTCGATCCATTTCTGGCCACCTCTGGTATTCCTCAGGGTTAGAACGTCGGACCCTTATTGTTTATATTCTTCATTAATGAGCTTTTAAATTCTATCTCTTGTAATTACATACGCTGATGACATTAAAATATACCATGAAATCAAATTTACACAAGACGGTGAAATGCTACAGCTGGATATTGATCTACTTTATAATTGGTGTGTCAAAAGTAATATGACACTGACTATATCAAAATGTCACATTATATCTTTCACTAAAAAACGGTATCCTTTATTATTTCCCTATAACATAAACAAATGTAAGCTGCAGCGTCAAGAATTGATGAAGGATCTTGGTGTTTGGCTAGACTCTAAATTAACACACAAAAACCATTATGATAGCATAATCTCAAAAGCTAACATAGCACTAGGTTTTATATTCAGGATGACAAGGCCATTTAGAAGAGCGAATAATATTATTACATTATTTATGACTTAAGTTAGAAGTATTCTTGAGTATTGTTCTGTAGTTTGGAGTCCGTACTAACATAATTATACTGATTGGATTGAATCCATTCAGAGGCGCGTTTTGCGCTTTCTAAGTGTGTAATTTGGATTAAGACGCAAGCTATCTACCTACGAGGCACGTTTGAATCATTTTTCGTTAAAATCATTCAGTCACAGACGTAAGATGGTGTAATATCGCACTTTGAATAAAATTGTCAACGCCAAATGGGATAAAAGTGAGTTGCTGAGTCAAGTAATAACAATATAACTAATATTGAACCAGTTTTTCGCATGTGTAGAGCTTACAATAATATTAGTAAGAACTTGGACATATTTTCCCAAAGCTTACCCATTTTCTTGCGCATGTCTGATCTTAAAATAAATTAATAATAATTACCTGTTTTGTATAATATATCTTGAAGTGTTGTGTGTAGCTTTAATTGGGGGAAAAATCTAATTGCTATACTTGTACATTTCGTATTATTGTATTTTGTGGTTTGTTTTGCTGTAGCTGTGCCTTTTATAAATAAATAAAAATACTCTGCTTTATCTAAAAGGGAGTTTTTCTTTCTCATTTTTAATTTTATTTAAGTTCTGCTGTTTTTCTATAACATGTTTTTTCTTATTCTATTTCAGATTACCGACACTTTTATAGTCAAGACATAAAAAAAAAAAATTATTAAATTGTGGATCTCTACCTGTAGCTATAAGAATCAAGGAACTTCTAAAACAAATAAAGTTAAGTATATTTTCGCAAGCTGGAATGTTTTTCAATCTGTAGTACATTGTCTTTTTCTCACTATGCTCTTTTTCAAACCAGTGACCTAACAATTTTCAATAGTAAAGCGATTTTTTAGCTGTTTATGGAATTATGTAACGATTAAAGTTGCAATCGCTTTCGGAACGAATGATGATTTGAATAATCAAAAACCTAATAAAAAACTTGATAAGCTAATCTTTAAATATTATTGCGTCCAACGCTTGCCTTAAACAATTTCAATTATCGTCAAATTAACGATATCATTCATTCAATATCTTTAAAAACCACGTCGATGTGAAAAATTGAGATTAAATCATGAATTAGCTAAACTTTATGATGTAATCTCACAATATTGACCAAATCCTAAAAATTATACATTTAAAATCCGCCAGTTTACACAAACTGTCAAATTTCACTCGCTTTTAAACCTTCATGCTTTGGAGGTAGAATTTTAAATCAACTGGATAAATTTGACATATTGTGGTAAACTGACATGCAGCCGTGTGTTTGCATAGCTAACTGACTTGATCATTTTATTGTCATAGGGTTTTGTAAATGAAAACAATTATAGTTCCGAATTTATTTAATTCTCTGAATGATAGATTTTTTCATACTGATATTAAAAATATATAGTTTTACAAATCTAAAATATTGTATATGAAAGGGTAACTGTCTTGAATTCTATTAAAAGTCACTGTTTTTTTAAAATAGATGAATAAAAATAATAGGATTGTTTTTTGCGTCATAGCTTTGGGTTATATTCAATTTGCAGTAACAACCCCAGTGAACAACGGATTATTGTTGAGGAAAATATAGTAAACAAATGCACGATTAGCATTGAAGGTCTTAGTTTCACGTACGGACGTTGCGCCAACAACGATAGCTGTAAAACAAATGATAAACGATTATTTAGCTGACATTAGAAAATGACTTTTGCAATGAAACAAATATGAAACTTTTGTATTAAGTTATCTACATTATTCGAAGTTAGCACAGCTGTATGCCGTCCAGCCCACAAGTAAATCCGCACGTGAAAATTACACGTGTTTGTACGCGTAGCGTGATGAATTTAAGAAACGTTTTGTTTAAAGCGACATATGCTCGCTTTTCTCTGATCTATATTGTCAATGTGAGGATAACGGATTCGATAAATATTCATGATCTTAACAAAAAGGCAATGGTCAAAAATGGATAAATGCCTTTCGTCTTTCGTCATGTAGTCCATGATTTTTATAAGCATGTACAACTATATAAACCGAGTGCTGTTATAAAATAAAATGACAACCATCCTGCTATTCATGATGATGATTCGTGTAAGGACTAAACAGGAAATCTACTCTGTTTCTCCGAAAATTTTACGTCTGTTTTCAAACACTAATATGACTCCAAAGAAACACTTATATTGATAACCACATTGCACACTGTCTCTGATGCTGAGATAATATTGCTATGGATTTAATTTCCCAAATTTTCCTTCGTGGACAAATAAAGTATGCCGTCACGTGAACACAATTATAACCAAACTATATCGAAAAATTTCATTAGTTATTTTTTCTTCAAAGTCCCGTTACGTACTTTCCTATGGGTAAATTAACGGAGTTCGCGAAATCGTCATAGCTTGAATATTACGTATACTTGTGGGCATTGCACAGGTGTTTATAATGATTTTATATGCGAAGGTTGTATATGACATCATAGCTTTCAAATTATTAAATTGTTTATCATCAATTTCATATTTGTTCATCGTGATATCAGTGGTAATACGGGTAAAACAAATTTCAAATTTTTCTTAAGGATATTTCGTTTTGAAACTTTTTCTATACCATTTGCAGCAGCTGCTTCGGTTCCAACTTCATTGACTGTAATATCGGCTTTTTGTACTGCGTCTGTTACGCCAAGCTTCTCATTGCCTTCAATAATGTCGCTCAAATCAGATTTATTACTATCAAATATGTCAGTGATGTTTAGCTAAAACAAATTAAATTAACGATTCATACAACGAGCCATAGGGTCTTTATGTAAGATGCTGGTTATTCCCAAGGAGAATATTGAGAAAATAATAAAGGGAAAAATAATCTTATTACAAATTTTATACATGATAAGCTTGCGTATAATATAATAATGATAGTGATTTTATTTATTTATACACAACATAATCTATTGTTACAGGTTACATGACCCAATGTAATAGTTAAGCAACAAAGTTAATAAGTAGTAGTACAGAATTATTGTAACATAATATAAACATTGCCGTTTTTGAGCATTCACCCATAGAATAACAAAATATGTTTACACTCTCAGATATTTTATTTAGGGCGTCAGCGGACATTTTTTCAACATGTCTGTCCTACTGTATGGTACTGCCAGTAACGGCGGTCGACGACGGAACCATTTTCCAGAATAGTTTTTACTGTGCAAAATATATCAAATAGTAGGCTCAAAGATTCTGCCTACTCAATTCATTCATCAGTTTAATCTAAATGTTTTGATGATTTGTGTACCCAGGAGCGCTAGATTTTTATTAGAGA